AGCATTTATCAAGTAGAGTTGAGAATACATGTATCATCAATTCCAAGATTTACTGGAGTGAGAGAATAGTAGACACATGGCTTCTAAGGTCGTAATGCTATCCCGTGTATAAACACTGACTGGTGTCCTTTCCCAAGCACATGACATGCTTGGGGCCTCAAGCTGGGAAAAATGTAATTCGCAGATATCAAAGGCTTCTATACCTCTGAAGCAAGGCTGGACAGTACCCAGGGCCAACACCCAGCCCAGAAAGCATGGCCAGCCAGGTTCACTGAACCCCTCAGTGACTGACCAAAGGACCCACTTGGCATATAATCCAAGAATGGAAAATGGATTGTCATTTAGAATCAGCCCCCCGACAGCATCAGGAATAACTGGAGCTAGGAACTGACATGATCAAAACAAGGATCTGGAAGTGAGGGCTCCATGACCCTAGCACACACTCATACTCCTTGGCTTGGTGTGATTCATGTCTGCCTTCAGGGGGCTCTGACAGCTTTTCTATTTGGGTCCCATGTCTATGCAAAACAAGGCAACACCTGCAAAGGCAAAAGCAATGGCAACACTTCCTTTGATTTACCCGTAAAAAACTAAGAATGGAATAGACCAGGTGAGCTCATATCTGTGTTTCAAATCTTAGAATTCCGTAACTCCTTGAGATTTAGGGTAAGTTTAGGACACATGTAAAGAAGCACTGCTCCATACAGAGGGAAGTCAAACTCTGAAAGTCAGAATGGCCAGGCAGAAGGTGGGTGGTAAAATGCATTCCAGGAAAGGTATAGGCCAAATCTTGGACGAAAGGGACATCAGAGGAGCCCGGGCCGCCCATGCGGTGTCTCTCTAACTTCTGAGGGTTGGGTCCAGGGGAGGAGGAGTTCCACCCAGAATTGTGCTCTTGAAGCCCTCCTCTGAGATGGACAGAGGGACTGGACAAACTGTAGACAAACAGCAGCAAGTTCGACTGCCTTAGTCATTTTGTTACACCGCCTCTTCTTCCTTTTTCCCATCACCGTTTAGCTGTATTTCAGAACCAATACTGCGCTGAACAGGCATCACAAAAGTGATGAGTGCGCTCGCCCCTAAGCCTGGATGATTAAAATGTTTACCACCAAGGGTACACAACCACCATGCCCTCAGTGGCCTAGGATCTGGGACAGCGGCCACACTTGACTTCCGCAGGATGGTGAACTTTGACTCTAGGAATGTGAGGTGAGAAGAGGCAGGGTGGGCAGGTGTCGTGGTACCTGCGCACACCACGCCCGCGTCCTCACGGTGCTGGCAGTTGTGCCGGCCCCAGCCCGAGTGGGCGCAGTGCTCCAGCGCATCCTCGTTGCCGGCGCAGCGCACGTCGTCCAGCAGGATGGGCCCAGTGCCCTGGCCAAAGCGGCCGCGGCCCGGGGCACCCAGAGCGCGGCCGCAGCCCAGGAGGCGGCACACCACGCGGGCGTTCCTGATGTTCCAGTGGTCGTCACACACCGTGCCCCACACGCCCTGGTGCTGCAGCTCCACCCGGCCCTCGCAGCGGCTCCGCGCGCCCGCCAGACGCAGGGGCGGCTCTGCATGGCGAGAGAAACGGTCAGGTGGTCAGGTTTCCATCCTGGACTGCATCGCAGGGTGCCACTTGCTATTTGCAATACGAACTGTTTCTGCTTTTGTTGTTCTCTAACACACACACACACACACACACACACACACACACACGCCCCTTGGTGCCACTGCTATTTGCAATATGACCTGTTTCTGGTTTTGTTGCACACACACGCGCGCGCGCACACACACACACACACACACACACACACACTTTCTCTCATACAGTAAAGCCTTCATTATCTGAAGCCCTCAGGAATGGCCCTGTGTGCAAGCCTAGTTTTCCACCTAAGAACTTAATCTGTAAACAAAAATTAAAACACCCCAAAAAACAAAGCAAACAGGCAAAACAAAAACCAGAAAACACTTTCAAATCTTTAGGAGACAGTTGTTCTAAAATGAAGCACTGCCTTGACTCATCAAACATGTATCCAGTGAAATAACTTTTACTCTGGATGAGTAAGAGCTCGTATGTTCACTCTAAAAACCATATTATACAACATAGCTCTTCCACTTGGCATTTACTCAAGATGAACAAATGTCCATGCCCACAGAAAGATCTGGAGGTAGCAGAAGCATCCACAGTAGCCCAAATCCAGAAACAATGCAGGTGCCCATCCACAGGAGAGAGGGTAAATCATGGCATAGGCACACAGTGGAATATTACTAAGCAGTAAAAAGTAACAAATGACCAATACATTTGTTCCTTTATTAATCTCAAAAACATTTTAAATGAAAGAAGTTAGAAACAAGAGATCACATGTTATTTGATTCCACTTATATGACATTCTGAAAAAAGCAAACCTATTCTGCAGTGATGGAAGGCACAGCAGTGGTGGCCTGGGGAAGGTGGGAGAGATTTACTGAGACAGGGCATGAGGGAACTTTCTGCAGTGATGGAAATGTTGTCTATCTTGATGGTGGTGGTGGACAGTTGTGTTGGTTAGACAAAACTCATAGATGCATGCACTATGTTTACAGATTATACTTCAAAAATGTTGATTTAAAAAATAAAAACAATAAAAAATAAAATCTATATTATGTTGGTGGTGTCATGCCCACAGACATGTGTAGAATGATTTGTTTTTTATATTGGTATGTTGTGACTGCATCTTTCAATTTTCTGCTCTCTTTGGCACATAGAAGGTGCTTAGTGAATGTTAAACACCACGGGCTTCTGTTTCTCTGTGGCTGCAGCATGCTGGTTGCCCTCTCCTCATCTTATTTATTGCTGTAATATTGGAAGGAAGATAACCATCCTTGTTTGAACTATGAATAAGAGTAAATGTCTTCTGGGTAAGGTTTTGGAAAGTGAATTTTGGGATCCCAACCCACAAAGTGCACGTGTATCCACACACACACCTGTGTCTGCACACATACACCTACAAGCTCATAAAATTTTCCTGTAAAGAGTAAGGAAGTTAAATGAAAAAGAAATGTAATCCTAACAGTATTAATAGAGTTATGATCATTTTAGTGTTCAGAAACAAACATAAATTACCAAGTACAGGGGCCATCTTTTCATCAGCTGAAATTTTCACTGTAAATAAGAAAAAAAAAAAAAACTTTAAAACTGTGTATTCATATTCATACACAAAGCTGAAAAAGAACCAAACATTTGCTCTAATTTCAGATACTAATACATTGTTTAAGTTCCTACTCTGGTTTGGGTGCAGAAATATTATCCGTTAAGTTTTATTTTCTTGCCATCAAAATGTATTTCTTGCCGCCAAAATGTACTAAATTACAGTTTGCTCACCTGTAATCCCAGCACTTTGGGAGGCTGAGGTGGGAGAATCACTTGAGCCTAGGAGTTCAGGATCAGCCTGGGTGACATGGTGAGATCCAGCATCTATAAAAAATTTAAAAAATTAGCTGTATGGTGGTGCACACCTGCAGTCTTAGCTACTCGGGAGGCGAAGGTGGGAGGATCACTTGAGCACAAGAGATCAAGGCTGCAGTGGGCTGTGATTGCACCACTGCACTCCAGCCATGGGAACAGAGCAAGACCCTGTCTTGGGGAAAAAAAAAAGTAGTAAGTAGTGCTGTATCCTGTTTATTTTCCAGATATAAAATAATGAATTAAATGGTCAGAAAAGAAGCTTTATAAATATACTGAATTTTGCAAGGAAGAATTTAAAAATTATATTTTGTAGAAAATAGTTTTATAGGGGTTGAAAATGAAGCCAAGAAAATCAAGTGAGTTTCCTCAGAAATATTTTTAGATAAGAGAAAAGCCACATCTGAGAGATGTAATTCCACAGTAACATATACAGAGGAAATCCCAGTAGAAAAATTAACAATGGAGTTTATGAAAGAATATGGTAGTGTAAACAATAAAATGAAGCATTAATCTAGCAGCAGGCATACGATCATTACCAGTTGATGGTGTCACTTTGGTTGAAATTAGATCTGCGGCTGCCAAAAAAAAAAAAAATTCTCTTTGAAAAGAAAGCATTAAAATTTGGCTTCACTGAAATTTTACACTGTAGACTAGAAGTGTATGAAAATAAGCCTGTTTCATTAGTGATATGCAATAGAAATCCACCCCGTGCATTTATCTTGTGGATTTACACTTTCAGGCATGAACTGGAGTATGAGAAGTTGGCATTTTGGGAGGGACATTGACAGCTCTCATTTTGAACATCTACAATGTATCAGATAAGTTGTATCTCTAATCCTCACAACAAATGTTTTAGGTAAGTATTGTCATATTTTGGAGGTGAGGAAATGGAGACTCAGGGCTTGTATAGCGTGCTCAGGTTATCTACAACTCAAGCCCACGAGGCCCCAAGGCATGTATTCTAAGCATTTTGCCTTTGAGGAGCATAGCTGTGGGAGTCACCTTCACCTGGGCTCCTTGTGGCTAACGGGGGTGAAGGGGAAGGAAGGGAAGGGTTTAATGGTCACCACGCCTTTTCTCCCACTCCAAGTGGCCCTTCCCAAACAGGAAGTGATTTCACTGGCATGCCTTCACAAAGGACATAAAACCTGCAAGTGTCACCTAATCTGTCACCAAACCAACCCAGTTATCATCAACCAGATCCACAAAGAAAAGGTTGTCTCATGTGATGTCAAGAGTCAGTGAGAATTACAGGCAAAGGAATCTTCTGACGAAAGTAGAGTTATGGTGTGGGTGGGAAGGAAGGAAGGAAGTGAGGAAATGAGGAATGGAGGTAGGAGGAAAGGAAAGGAGAGAGGGAGGAAGGACAGAAGGAAGGAAGAAAGGAAGGAAGGGAAGGAGGGAAGAAGGAAAGAATAAATAGGAGAAAGGGAGGGAAGGACAGAGGGAGGAAGGAAGGAAGGGAGGAAGGCAGGAAGGAAGGACGGCCGGCCAGCTGACTGGCCATACTTAAACATAAGTGAAAAGAAAGTGCTGAACTTTGGTTTCATTGAATTTTACCCCCATGTCTTCAAAGTACCCAAGACTTGAAGTAAAAAAATTAAAAAAAGAAGAAAATAAATAAAATAGAAGAAAGCAGCAGAGCCTTGTTACTGAAGATGTCAATATCATAGGAATTTGGGAGAATCACAGAGATGGGTTCATCAGCAGAGCGTAAGAGCAGAAAGGACTTTGGACAGGAGTCAGGACAACTGGCTCTGCCTCACCCTCGCTCTGTGACTTTAGGCAGATCTCTTCCTTCTTTAGGCCTCATTTTCCTCCAAAATGAGGGTGGTGGTTCAACATCTTACTCCCCAACCAGGTCCATGACCAGCAGCAGTGGCATCACCTGGGAGCCTTAGAAAAGCTCCACCTGGAGCCACTGAATTTGCATTTCACAAGTTCCACATAAGGCTCATACACGTATGCACATTTGGGAATCCCTACTCTAGACCATCTCTTAGTCTTGACATTTTAAGCTATTTTACCCTATGTATCCTCTCCCCAGCATCCATCTACACTGCATTCAGTTTCATGACTAGCAATAGAGGCGTGTCCTGGAATCCTCTGGGGAGTTGAGTGGACTCTGCTGACCTCTCCTCTCTTCTCCCCTGACCTCTCCTCTCCTCCCCTGACCTCGCCTGGGGAAACAGAAGTGTTTATTCTGGGTGTGTAAACTCTTGCTGGGCTGAGCATTCTCAGAAAGTCACTCATCAGGGCTGCTGCAAGGAGCAGGGAGCATACCGGGTGAAGAAGATACTTCAGCTGCAGCGGAAGTCATATCTGCAAATGCAGAGGAATGTTTTGGTTTGACCAACTACACAGTGGAAAACAGAAGAGCAGATGGATAGAACTAACCCTATCACAACCCAGTGTTTTCACCTGTGTGTTCAGGTGTGCTGGCTGGGTCAGAGCATCACCTGAAACCTGACACACATAGCCAAGCAGGAGAGGGTGGACCCCCAGCCCTGGCCTCCCGTGGGCACATCTGATCAACACCAGTGCAGCAAGCAGAAGGCGTGCCCTGGTGGAGGGGCCCCTTCTGTGTCTATGGAAGAATGAAGAGAACATGAACATCAGTTTCTGTGAAAAGGATGCTGGAGTTTCTGTTTACATTGAGGCTCATACCATAGACAGAACAGCCAGTACCTATATATCCTCATTTGCCACAGAGAAAGAGAAAAAAAAAGTTGATCATATTGAAATTTAGAAATGCGGCAGGCAGAAATCATTACCAGAGGGTGTGTCCACTTCTGCTGAAGTTGAAGATGCATCTGTGCATTAACAAAGAGAGCAGGACACAAACATGAGTGGAAAAGGCCGGCTGTGTCTTTTCAATGAGATTAACTTTGCAGTAAAAATGATCATTACTGAGGCTCATTTTCTGAATAGAACATGACATACAAGAAGCTAGTCTCACTAACTTAAACAGTACCACGAGAGAGACCTTACCAGATGGAGAGGTCCCTTCCGCTGAGGTTGAAGATATCTCTAGAAATAAAAGGAAGAAGAGACATATACTAGTGGAGGGGACTCCTGGGTTTCTGTTTTTACTAAGGCTATGTTGGGGACAAAAGTTTTGAATTCCATGTTGATAAACAGAACTCCAAGAAGAGGCACTGACAGAACAGCAGACAGAGTGTTCTACCTGGTGTGGAAGTCTCGGCAGCGGAGATGGAAGCTGCAAGTGAACACAAAGGACAAGGCAGCATTAAGACAGTCTCATCGGGCACATGCACCTCTACAAGGTGCAGGAGACGGGAAGTTGGTGTCCTGGATTAGAGTGACTGCCAGGCTTGTCCTCCTGCTCTGCAGTCAGGAGCCATGGCAAGGCAGCTCCAGAGCCCCCACTGCCTCTGAGCCACCTCTCCATTCCTTCCCGTGGGTCTCCATTCCTCTTGCCAAAATGCTACTTCTTCCCATGGAGGTAGAAGTGACCGTCTGGGGAGCCACAGCCACGGGCCAGGTTTCTCAGTGGTATGGAGCTAATCTAACAAAGATCCTGTGAGTGGGGACTTGCTTTCCTGGCCTTTCTCCTCCTTTCAAATGGCTGGAGGCAGTGACCCAGGAAAGATCAGCTTTGCAGACTGGAACTTTCCCTGGCTGGGCTGTCCCAGGATCTAGCTGAGGGTGGGGAGGGGTGGCAGGTCCATTTGTCTTTTGTACTGTTTCCTGCCAATCCAGCTTTATCAGTAATAAAGGCCTCATTTTGGTGCTGAATCTGATGTTTTACACCTCATTTGCTTCAGCACCTAAAACAGGGAAGACCACCATCCTTATTATCCCCCTTCCTTCACCAAAAACCCCCCACAAATTTCTCTACACTCTATCTGTGAAGTTCATGAACCTGGAGTCACATTAGAAACTCCTTGGATAATTCCAACCAGCATCACTCAAAATCTGTTGTCTAAGAGGTGAGTTACTTGCTGTCTTGGTCAACTCTGCATCCCTCTCTGCCTTGGTCCTCCTCACTGAATGCTGGTGAATGTCAAGGAGGATCAGGGAAAACCATGGCTTGACTTCTTTCCACTCTGGCAACACTGGTTGTTGGCTGGTCTCCAGGAGAAGCTTTCTGCACAGACTCAAGTAGGTGATTAACTTACACCAGTGGTCCTTCACCTTTTTGGCACCAGGGGTCTGTTTTTGTGGAAGACAAATTTTCCACGGATGGCAGGGAGGATGGGGGATGGTTTTAGGATGAAACTGTTCTACCTCAGATCATCAGGAATTAGTCAGATTCTCATAGGAGCACACAACCTAGATCCTTCACATGTTTGCAGCTCACACAGGGTTTGTGCTCCCATAAGAATCTAATGCTGCCACTGATCTGACAGGAGGCAGAGCTCAGGTGGTGATGTCCACTCGCCCACCATTCACCTCTTGCTGTGTGGCCCAGTTCCTAACAGCTATGGAGCCCTACTGGTCTGTGGCCTGGGGGTTGAGGACTCCTGCCTTAGACTACCTGTCAGTCACTGAATGTGTTCATGGAGTCAACTTGGCCTAATGGGTTGAACAAGTTTTTCCCTTGGCTTATGCATTTAGCTGAGTTGTCCAGAATTCACTGACCACTGGGGGATCAGAGATGGCCTTTAAGAGTAAGGTCAATATAGACATATTTTAAAACTCAAAAGATTACTAAAAATTAAAGAATTTAACCAGGACATAAAAAGTTATTTAATAAATTCACTGGGAAACCAAATAAAATAAATTATAGCAAGCAAGATGGAACCCAAAATAACACTTAAATTACCTGTTGGGGTGGTTAGAGCAGTATTCAAAGATTCTGGAAATGAGAAAAGGCAATTGGTCAAAACCTACCGAATGGCAAACAAATTTTGTTTCATAGTTCATTTGTTTTCTTTTCTCTGTCCCTAGAACACAGAAAACATGACCTTCATTTATTTGACAAATATTGACTCTCCACTCCTGTTGCAAAAATCCACCTATGATGATTAGCTGTTTTCTACCCTCTCAAATTCCCATCTTCCCAAATTAAAAACATATGCACTGGTATAAATTAAATCCTTCCTGAACTGAAACATGTTTCCCTGTCCTTTTAAATAAAAGATATTGACCATACTTGAACATGCATGAATTCAGCCTTGTCAATAAGGGTATCATTGTTGTTTAAGGATGCAACACACAGGTTTCAAAGGATGTTAAGTGGGCATTTTTGCTCCACATAGCTCCATATAAGGTAATCGAGCATTTCTGCCCCATTTGGAAAATGAAGTTGAATGGTTTCTCTGAACCCTTCTGTGGCTATCAGAGCATCTGTTAACATTTCCTGCCATTGCCAATGTAGCTTCTTTATTAGGTCTATACCTCCTAGCCCCCTGCATTCCCTCCCAACCTGCTGTCTCTAGCAATATATAGTCAGCAGCAAGACCAGATAGCCGGTTGTTATGAGTGTGAAGAAAGTAAGAACAGATTCTGAATAACAGGCTCTATGGTATACTTCTGTGGGTATTCAAGCACTTGAGCTTGAATGCTAGAATCTCAATTTGGCCTCATGAGGTACTCTTTGTCTATTTCTGGATTCTAGTCTATTTCCCAAGAAATTAATTTAGCCAAGTGACTCCTGGACAAATAGTGGTATAATTTTACTAGCTAGGTAAATTTCAACATAGCAATATCCCTTATATAGGTAGTAAAGGAGATACCAAGAAAAAACTTCTTACCAGGTGTAAGGGTCAAATCTGTGGCTGAAATTGAAGCAGGAACTATCAAGACAAGCACAGTTAAGAGAAAATTATAGTTAAATGCCATCCTTATCAATCAAGTTCATTGGTAAAGAATTTTTAAAAATTACCCTGTTTACAAATTATGCCCCAGCTATGTTCCTGTTTGATTCTCCTATTCTCTGTTTATTAAGCTAAGGGGATTAATAATGGGGTTAGGACCCAAGAGACTTGGGTTCTAGTCTCTAGTCTTTGTGGAACACAGCACGTGACCTTGGGCAAGCTCCTTTGCATCTCTGAGCTTCAGCTGCTGCATCCAAAGGGCTGTTCCATGGCAGAACAGCATCTGTATCACCTTGTTAGAAATACGGGCTCTCAAGATTCACTGAACCAGAATCTGTATTTTATTAAGATCTCCATGACAGCTATGTACACAGTAAAGTTTGAGAAGCACAAAGCATGCAAATGGAGATAGGATTAGACAAGCATGGGAGCCAGGAAGAAATGGGAGAGAGAGCCTATGCCATATAAAGGGAGCAGCCGTTCCCTACTCAGCCCCAGCCAACTGGTGCTCTGCTGAAATTCATGCTACTTTTGACCATTCTCAGATGTTTTGATCAAAGCTGGAAATCCGGGTTTTTGTAGGATATCTCCCATTATTAACAGGTAGGATTAAAAATAATTCAAACATGACTGGATGAAACTGAGTTGCCTGCACCCAAACACAATGGCAGGTCAAAACTGCCCACTTGTGACTTCCCGTCTGAGCAATCTCTAAGGTTTCTTCCAACTCTTAGAAAAATGTTACACTGTGATGGTGCCACATGACTTGTTTTCACCTAAAAGAACTGGTGGACAATTTTCACAGATCCAATCACCAAAAGAGCTACATGTTTCCTTGTTTGATTTTCCTTAGAGGTTAGTGTGTACCAATCCTGGCAGAAGGCTTTGAGATTTTTGAAAAAAAGGACCATGGAAATATGGACAGTTCAGAAAAAACTTGATTTGAGCTGACTTGAATTGATATGGTATTTTGCTAGCTTATTTAGCCAAACAATGGTTAACTTAAGCCTTAGGATGACCCCAAAGTATCCAGAGGAGGCAATTTTATAAAAGGACACATGGGTTGCTTCCATTAGGAAGCCAAGCCAGATCTTGGCAGGCAGCAGAACACACATCCCCAAGGATGTGACTGTGACGCTCCAATCACTGTGTTCTTACATAAATGTGACCACTCAGTCCCCAGGACAAGATTCTGAGGTGACTATTTTCATCCTCTTGTTCTACACATGAAGAACCTGAAGCTCTCAAAGGTGAGGCGACTTGACCTCTGTCACCCAATTGGTCAAGGCTGGAGACAGAACATAATCCCACGTTCTCTGGCTCCGTGATGAACATCAATGCAAAAATCTTCAATAAAATACTGGCAAACAGATTGCAACAGCACATCGAAAAGTTTATCCATCACAATCAAGTAGGCTTCATCCCAGGGAGGCAAGGCTGGTTCAACATACACAAGTCTATAAATGTAATCCACCACATAAACAGAACCAAAGACAAAAACCACATGATTATCTCAATAGATGCAGAGAAGGCCTCTGACAAAATTCAACAGCTCTTTATGCTAAAAACTCTCAACGAACTAGGTATTGACGGAATGCATCTCAAAATAATAAAAGCTATTTACGACAGACCCACAGCCAATATCATACTGAATGGGCAAAAACTGGAAGCATTCCCTTTGAAATCCAGCACTAGACAAGGATTCCCTCTCTCACCACTCCTATTCAATATAATATTGGAAGTTGTAGCCAGAGCTATCAGGCAAGAAAAAGTAACAAAGAGTATCCAATTAGGAAAGGAGGAAGTCAAATTGTCTCTATTTGCAGATGACATAATTGTATATTTAGAAGACTCCATCATCTCAGCCCAAAGTCTCCCGAAACTGATAAGCAACTTCAGCAAAGTCTCAGGATATAAAATCAAAGTGCAGAAATAACAAACATTCCTATACACCAATAACAGACTAAAAGAGAGCCAAATCAAGAATGAACTGCCATTCACAATTGCAATAAAGAGAATGAAATACTTAGGAATAAAACTCACAAAGGATATAAAGGACCTCTTCAAAGAGAACTACAAACCACTGCTCAAGGAAATGAGAAGACACAAACAGATGGAAAAACATTCCATGCTCATGGTTGGGAAGAAACAATACTGTGAAAATGGCCATACTGCCCAAAGTAGTTTGTAGATTGAATGCTATCCCCATCAAGCTACCTATGACCCTCTTCACAGAACTGTGAACTTCTGTGAACTCCACTTTAAACTTCATATGGAACCAAAAGAGAGCCTGTATAGCCAAGTCAATTCTAAGCAAAAAGAACAGAGCTGGAGACATCACGCTACCTGACTTCAAACGATACTTGTAGGCTACAGTAATAAAAACAGCATGGTACTGGTTCCAAAACGGAGACATAGACTAATGGAACATAACAGAGGCCTTGGAGGCAATGCCACACATCTACAACCATCTGATTTTTGACAAACCTCACAAAAACAAGCAATGGGGAAAGGATTCCCTGTTTAATAAATGGTGTTGGGAAAACTGGCTAGCCACGTGCAGAAAGCAGAAACTGGACCCGTTTCTGACACTTTACACTAAAATTAACTCCAGATAAATTAAAGGCTTAAACATAAGACCTAACACCATAAAAAATCTGAAGAAAACCTAGGCAAAACCATTCAGGACATAGGCATACACAAGGACTTCATGACCAAAACACCAAAAGCATTGACAACAAAAGCCAAAATAGACAAATGGGATCTAATTAAACTCCAGAGCTTCTGTACAGCAAAGGAAACAATCATTAGAGTGAACTAGCAACCAATAGAATGGGAAAAAATTTTTGCAATCTATCCATCTGACAAATGGCTAATATCCAGAATCTACAAAGAACTAAAACAGATTTACAAGAAACAAACAACCCCATTCAAAAGTGGGTGAAGGACATGAACAGACACTTTTCAAAAGAAGGCATTTATGGGGCCAATAAACATATGAACAAATGCTCATTATCACTGGCCATTAGAGAAATGCAAATCAAAACCACATTGAGATACCATCTCATACCAGTTAGAATGGCGATCATTTAAAAATCTGGAGACAACAGATACTGGAGAGAATGTGCACTGTTTGTAGGGGGTGTAAATTAGTTCAACCATTGTGGAAGACAGTGTGGCAATTCCTCAAGGACCTAGAAATAGCAATTCCATTTGACCCAGAAATCCCATTACTGGGTATATAACCAAAGGATTATAAATAGTTCTATTATAAAGACACATGCACATGTATATTCATTGCAGCACTGTTTACAATAGCAAAGACCAGGAACCAACCCAAATGCCCATCAGTGATAAACTGGACAAGGAAAATGTAGCACATATACACCATGGAATACTATGCAGCCATAAAAAAATGATGAGTTTGTGTCCTTTGTAGGGACATGGATGAATCTGGAAACCATCATTCTCAGCAAACTGACACAAGAACAGAAAATCAAACACTGCATGTTCTCACTCACAGGTGGGTGTTGAACAATGAGAACACATGGACACAGGGAGGGGAGTATCATACACTGGGGTCTGTTTGGGGGGGAATAGAGAAGGGCAGCAGGGGTAGGGAGGTTGGGGATGGATAATATGGGGAGAAATGCCAGATATAGGTGACAGGGGGATGGAGGCAGCAAACTACATTGCCATGTTTGTACCTATGCAACAATCTTGCATGTTCTGCACATGTACCCCAGAACCTAAAGTCCAAAAAATATATATATTTTAAGAAAAAGATTTCAGTGGTCAAAGAAGTTTGAGAATCATTGGATTAAACCAAATTTAAAAAAGATCTCTTACTATAGGACTTGTCAGAGACTTTAATGTGTTAATAGGTTGTAAATCTTCAAGAGAGGGATACGGCATTTCCCTAATTTACTTAGCAGTGCAAATCCTTCTTTAAGATTTACATATCAATAGATTAATGTACTGTACTGGAAACACACTTGAGAGATGTGCTAGTCCATTATTTTCTGCAAATGTAGATTAAAGTAGTTTTGCCTAAGATATCTGAAGTTTTCTGGGAGTTAAAAAAAAACAACCAGATTCACTGAACACCCAAATGTGTGGACACTGATGAGGATGTAAGTGAAGCCATGTCACTAAAACTTGAGTTCAGAGACCAGCTGTTGCACCAAAGAGGAAGGAAACAAACTGGACATATTGTGTGTATTGTATGGACGGCACACAATCTCTGTTCAATGCACTTCATTTAATGAATATGTAATCACCTTATACATTCACATGAGCTTGATGTTTAATTTTATATGTGATATAAACTCCAACCCTAACCATATGCAAAGTAATCTACACATAACTGATTTATAGAAAGCAAGAAAGAAACTAAAATTACCAGGTGAAGAGGTCATTTCCGTAGCTGATGCTGAAATTGTAAAACAAACAGGAATTTATTTTTTTTAATTTTAAAAACTTATGTCTCATATATATTACAATTAGATACAGAACAACTTTTTTTTTTTTTAATTGTTGAGATGGAGTCTTACTCTGTTTCCAGGCTGGAGTGCAGTGGCGCGATCTTGGGTCACTGCAACCTCCACCACCCAGGGTTCAAGCAAATCCCCTGCCCCAGCCTCCCGAGTAGCTGGGATTACAGACATGCGCCACCATGCCCTGCTAACTTTTTGCATTTTAGTAGAGACAGGGTTTCACCATGCTGGCCAGGATGGTCTCGATCTCCTGACCTTGTGTTCCCCTGCCCCGGCCTCCCAAAGTGCTGGGATTACAGGTGTGAGCCACAGCATCTGGCCCCAGAACAACTTCTGAGATGTAAAAGTAAAAATAAGAAAGGTTTCTTAGTTGAGACTGGAAGAGAGACAGGGATGCAAGAAGGCAGAAAGTGAGAAATGCCCATTGGTTGTGAGAACCCCAGGATGGGTCAGAGAGGCTGTTTCACTGAGGCACTGAAGAGGATATCATTTCTAGAATGACAAAGTACTAGGAGCCTTCCTAATTGTGACTTTAGGTTTCTAATGTTGATTTCCCATTTTCACCAAACTAGTTTTATAACACAATACCAAGTTGTCTGAGCACTAAAGGAAAGTGATTCCTTAACATGATAAAGATATTATAACTCTTGATTCAGTACTCATTTACTTTTGTTAATTATCCATTACTGTTTAAATGCACAAATGACTCTAACCCTCCCACTGAAATGCAAGCTCCATGAGGGAAGTATTGCTGTGTTCACTGCTACATCCTTAGCACCTAGAGTTGTGCTTGGCACATATAAAGTGCTCAATAAATATTTGTTAAATAAATAGGTTAATTAAATCCTTTTAGTCTAGTCTTTGTCCTATAAAATTAAGATAAGCTGAGCAGTGAATACTGCATTTCATTTCCTTTTCTATTCTACTTTTTTGGCAAGAAAAAGAAGCATGGATGATGCACAAACCGTGTTTTTTTTTTTTTTTTTTTTTTTTAGTAAACTATCTCAAACCACAGAGGCCAAAAGAAGATAGTGCTAAGGATTTCACACAGGACGTAGATGAGAGGATCTGAGTTTTGTTCATGGAATTTCCTGGAGCTGCACTACAAAGTCAGCTTTAAAGTTCAAAACAGACAATTTCAGGACAAAGTCTAGGAAGTGCCATTACCCCAATGGGTGGTTCACAGAAGGGATCTGGTAATTCCTTGAAGACTGCAGAAAGTGAGGACCCTAAGGTGAACTCAGTGGGCCTTGAGTCAAACACTGGCTGGACCAACAAATTAAGGGAGGCTGAGAATAGCCAACAGGCCTCCAGAACCAACATCAGGGCACAATGTGGGGCTGAGGGACTTGGGGCTGGCCCAGGGTTGTATTATATGCCATTATATAATAATACATGCTGCCCCAGGGAGCTCAGTGTTGACAGTGGACCTTGGGCACTTGCTCAGAGGATGCCAGTGAGACCCAAACTTCCTCACGTTGATTTTCAGGTCCCCCACTGAAAGCCATGGCTCAGGCAGCCCCAAGAGAAAGCTGGAAGTGAGTATCTGTGCAGATGAGCCTGGCATCCTCAAGGCGGCCACAGTAGTAGATGGACAGACCCCAATGGTGGCACCAGCGTAGTGAAGTCTATATGCCTTGACACTGCATGTTGTCCAGGAGGAAGTGTCCCGTGCCCCCCACCCTGCAGAGTGGCCATTCCCTGGGCCGGCCAATGCTCTCCCCACAGCCCAGCTGCTGGCACACAATGTGGGCAGTGCCAATGCCCCAAAGGTTGTCACACACAGTCCCCCATGTGCCAGTGTGGTAGACTTCATGTGTCCTTTGCACTGGCTCCTCCCATCTGCCAACCTGACAATGGGCAAGTCTGGGGAGACCCAGAGGTTACCATTGGAATGTGATCAGCTCTTCCAGCAGATGCTAGTGGGATTTTTCTTTAGTTCTTAAAATAATACACACCCTAAGTTCTAAAACTCTACACTCTTGCTTCCTGCTTCTAGGTCTCACAGGACTTAGTCAAACTTGTGCTTGCAAATTCAGGGACTGATTTTTTTGAGGCTATTTGTGATTTCCAATATTTTGTTCCCTTATTCTCCTCATCTTTGGATTGGAAATATGGCAATTATAAGGATAAGAATAAATATCTGTTTTGAAACAGAGCCATCAAACTGATAAGCAATAGTGTGGGGATATAGGCAACTCAAGCTTTCATGATTTCATTATTACTGTAGCCCAGGTTCACAGTTAAAAACATTTTTCAGGATCCAGAGACTAGACAAGTGGCAGCCAGCTCTGTAACCTCTCCTTCTGTATCAGCTCTGTATTTTCTCAGTCCTGGGGTGACATGAATCTGGGTGGACACTGACATTACAGGGAATCCCCTAGGAAGATTCAATAATCAGGAAGCTTTAAGGGAAACAATCAAAGGATTACCAATGCTGGGGACCATTTCTGTCAATGCTGGAGCAACTTCAGCAGCTGAAAGGGAAAACCAAGGCGTCATCACAAGCACATCACCATTTTAAAGATTAAGCTCAAACTAGACAATGTCTCTACACCACTTTTCCCTCCCATGGGGGTGGTCCTCACTGCCTGACGGTAATTGGAAGGATCTATTTGAACTTTGCCAGGGTAGTATCATTGATGATCACTTGGGAGATTTGAGGCTACAAAGAAGGAAGGTGAACATTTGATGCCAACTGGACTCAGAGTTTTTATGCTGACACACCATGACTGTTTGAAACACTGAACACTAAGTCTTCAGATTTAAAAAAAATGGGTATCATTTTCCAGGAGGTTTTTCTAAAAATTCCAAGAAATGCAGTCGAATGGTTGGAGCTCAGATTTTGCATTTCTAACTCAGGTTTCCCCAAGAACATTATGAATTCTTGGTATAAAATTAGTTTTGCTTTACTTGAATTTAGAAAATTGTAAAATATTGATTGAGAAATGATGGAGGTCGTTGGGATTAGAATACCAAGCAGCAAAAGACAGAACATCATTCTGACAAGCAAGTAAGAAATTGGCCAAGTGAAACTGACCCCTGTGCCCAAAGCAAATGAAGCTAACTCTCAGGATCTGCATCCCCAGGGACTGGGGCTGGTTCCTGAGGCCCCTGTAGAAGGACCTGCAGGAGCAGTGGCCTGCTGCTGCTGCCGCCAAGGGTGGTGGCTGAGCGGGCTCTCTCCTTGGAAAGGTTTCTACTCCACGAGAATCTTCCATGTCACCAGCTTGCCTCTCATGAGCACAGCTCTGATTGCACACAGCACAAGGGCCAGGGAAATCACATTTGCTGCATTTCCAATAGTCACAAATGGTCAGATCTCAGCCTCAGAAAAACAGTTGCAAAACATAAGAATGGGGAAAGTATCTGTTAAATGAAAAATGCGTGAATGCTCCCCAGAAGTTGAAGAAACTATGGCGTAAAAAAGAAAAATAGTTACCATAATTACATTCCAAACATGCACAATGATATTTCATACTCTTTTCAAGTACCATCTAAATCACGTTTGAGTCTGCCTTTAATCAACACTATCCAGGCTGTAATCTAATAGTTACATTTAAAATGTGATTCTACCTCATCCAGGGGTGTATATTATTCTGATTAAGAATATGAAAATAAAAGAAACAAAATTCATGTTGGGATTGTGAAGATATGGCCCCGTAGGCAGTGGTGCCTTGTCAGAACCATACAGTTCAGCAGCAGCTGCTGAGATCCAGGTGGCGCTGCAGGTAGAGGGTCAGCTCCTGTCCCTGGGCCCTCCTGCCCCCAGGCTCTCCTGCCCCTCTGCCCTTCTGCCCCAGGCCTCCTTCCCCTATGCCCTCCTGCCATCTCTGGATTGCCATGGCCTCCATTGCATGAACCAACCCTTTGGTTCTAGAGCTAGTTTCTTAGAGTCCTGTTGAAATGCTCTTGTCTGTGGAAGAGATGACATATCAACCTACTGACACCAGCCTAGGGAATGGGAAACAGCCCTGGGTCTTTGCCTTCTGGGAGAGTGGAAGGGTCCGAAGCTCAGAGCATTGTCAAGGAAAGTTAAAGCTCAGAAGGGAGACCCAGCATAGTCTGGGGTCCAGAGACCAAGTAGAGGTAACGGCTAGCCACCAGCCAGCAAGTAAAATGGACATAAACTGACAGATACCTGGATGTCGAGCAGCTGCAGAATCTGCAGAGATAAAGGAAATGAGGGTGGTTTAATAACAGAAACTGGAATGGTAGAGTGGTTCAAAGATCATTGTTTCTGTTTAAATGTGACTCAGGGAAGCTTGGCACAAATCAGTCTTAAGCATCTAGGGCTGTCCCATCTGTGTTTATACAGCCAGGTGAGGGTTGCGTGTTGTCTAACCTGGCTACAAACTTTGAGGCTGTGATGCTGATAAAATTTGCCTTAGTAACTAACATAACAACAAAATGGTAATATTTTTGTCTATTTATGGTTTGTCAGATGCTTGACTAAATGTTCTATGTGGGTTGCCTCAATTAAACCTCCCAATAATTCCGTGAAATAAATTCCATGATTTTCTTTCTTTTGCAATTGATTGAACTTTGCAGGTGCTCAAGTTGAATGGGACCCTCCTATGTATTGAATAGCTGGGTGTATTTTCCAGAGTCTGAGCAGAAATCCACTGTCCTACACCTGGGGAAAGTTTTAAGGCACAGGGGCATTTCCAGACTCTATCTGAGGATCTTGGGCTTGGTTCAGGCAGCTGCAAAACTGGCCCAGGAGGGACCTTCACTCACCTGAGCAGATGACACCAGCATCTTCATGATGTCCACAGTTGTGGGTGAACCAACCGCTGTGAGGGCACTGCCCCAGGGATGACTCTGTTCCCGTGCAGTTGACATCATCAAGGAGGATGCTGCCTGACCCAGGGCTGAAGCTGGCTCCTGGGAGGGCAGAAACAGCCAGGCCACAGCCCAGCTGCCTGCAGACCACGTGGGCATCCTCTATGGACCAGTTGTCATCACACACAGTGCCCCAGACATTGGCGTGGTAGAGTTCAACTCGGCCCTCACATCTGCTGGACCCGTTCACCAGCCGCAGTTCCAGACCTTGTGGACATCACAAAGAACAACCTCACGAATCTCATCCACAAAGACCACCAGAGAAGCCACCATTTCCTGGGAATTGTGCACTGACAATTGAGGATCATGAATTCACTCCCTTCTTTATTTCATTTTGTTCAAGTTTGCCTTGGTACTGCTCCATGTAGTTTTTGCAGTTGGTTAAGAAATGGTTATTCCTTGCCATTGGCTGGACCTGGCCTGCCCCATGGCATAGCTGTTCTTTCCCTGGGTGTGGTGAAGTCTTGGTTTCTAACCTCCACAGGGTGTGTTGGATTTTTCACAAGAAGCTGTCATGCATACACTGTGTGTGTGTGTGTGTGTGTGTGTGTGTATGTGTATGTGTGTGTAAGTTCCTGTGTGCCCTTGCACACGTTGATCAAAAGACAGTAAGAGTAGCTCCCATCTCTGTTGTTCCTGGGATCAGTCAGTTATCTACATGTGAAGACATTCCAGGGACTGGAAAGAGCCATCACTGCAGGCTGCCCCCCCTATGTTCAAAGGACAGCGTTACAAAAGGGAGCAGAAGCTGGCTGTGCTTGGAACACAGACAAGGTGACCCCACAGGTGGGGATGTGTGAAGATGTGGGGTAAGCAGGCAACCTGGCCTTCCTGGGGGCCCCTTCCAAATCAGACCCTAAAAGCCATGCTTACATCTCACAGCCTCTTCTTTCCTGTCACTCTCCAATCACAGATTTTCCAGGTGAACCTGGACATTGGCAGCCCTTTCCTGGGCAGCCTGAGGCCATGGAGGAGGGTGGAAGTCTGGACGCTTCCTCCCATGGTGCTGGGATGATTGTGAACTAAAACTCCATAGAGGGAGGCCCAGTGAAGTGAGAAGAAAGGGTTACCTGTCAATGTGGACACCTCTGTTGGCTTTGAAAAAGATGCTGCAAAAGGAGAAAATTATACAACGTCTTGGGTGAGCATCAAACATTGAACTTTCAGCCCGTTGTGGGTGGGCTGCCCACCCTGTGGATTATCTGCAGACAGTTTCTGATTCTTGATGGGATTTCCTTCTCATGCCCTTTTTCTGGGGGCAGTATTCCTTCCACCACCCAACTGGAGTGTTAGGAAATATAAGCTTGAGAAAACCATGGCTTGGTGGCTGATTTTTTAATACATATATTTTATTTAATTTTTAATTTTCATTTTTTTGGAGATGAAGTCTCACTCTGTTGCTCAGGCTGGAATGCAGTGGCGTGATCTCAGCTCACTGCAACTTCCACCTCCCAGGTTCAAGTCATTCTCCTGCCTCAGCCTCCAGAGTAGCTGGGATTACAGGCACCCGCCACCATGCCTAGCTAATTTTTGTATTTTTAGTAGAGATGAGGTTTCTCCATGTTGGCCAGGCTGGTCTCAAACTCCTGACCTAAGGTGATCGGCAAACCTTGGCCTCCCAACGTGCTGGAATTACAGGCGTGAATGACCGTGCCTGGCCTATAGATATATTTTAAATTCAAAAAAGCATCCTTTGGGGACCTCTGTTGTTCAGTATAAGCTACCTGGTGCTGCTTCTAAATGCTTGGTGTAATTTCTCTCTTTCCCGGCTTCTCTCTGCATGTTGTACTTTACTCTTCTAAGGACCTGTCCTGGAAGAGCTGCTGGCTGAATTGAGCTGGAACTGTAAAGACCACTGGCCAAATAGAGCTGGGAGCAAACTATAATGTGATGCTTTCAGCTTTTCCATTCTTAACAATTCTGTCAAGTAGAGGGCAGTACCCAGAGATAAACCCCTGCCGGGCTCTGACCTTGGACCAGGTGAGGGTCACAGAGAGTGTCTGACGTCATATGCCCCGCCCACTGCAGGGCAAGCCCTGGACTGGATATTCACAAAGTGAAATCCCCTGGATTTCCTCATCCTCATCCAGAGGAGAAAATGGAGGCAGGAAGCAACTCAGAGATTTGTTAGAGGCCTCACAGCCAGTAAATGAAGAGGTTGGGAAGATAAGCCTAGGGCATTTGGATCCTAAGTAACTACCCTACTGCTTAGGGGGGCTTTGCTAGGGCAAGTTACAGCTCATCAATTCAAAACAACCAAAATTACCTGAGGTTGGGTAACTCACAGCAGCAGATGCTGCTAGGTAAGGCAGAGAGGCAGTGGAAGGCATAGACAGCATGGGGAGCTCATCTCCCTTCAGTCCACCTAAACCTGAAAGAGAGGTAGGCTTGCTTACTTCAGTCAGAAAGGTACCACGTCTTGTTTTGGGGAGAAACTGCATACAATCTGGCATCTAAAAATGGCCCTGAGTTACTTTGGTTACAACCACCAGATGTCCTGGATCACCGAGTTTGTGTCTGTCCTGTTGCCAGACGCTGCGACGTCATCTCCTTCCCTTCATCCTTCTTGTTCTTTCTTCTTCCCTTTCTTTCTTCTCCTTTTCCCTCTCTCTCTTCCTCTCCCTCTCTCTCCTTCCTTCCTTCCCTTCTTCTCTCCCACTCCTTCCCTTCCTCCCTTTCCTTTCCTCTCCTCCCCTCCCGCCCCCTCCCTTCCCTTTTTCTTCACTTCCCTTCTCTCCTCTTCCCTCCCTTCCTTCCTACCTTTTTCATTTTTAGCAAACTGGGGCTCCAGGGATGGCCCCTGGTGTGGAGCATTTGTTTTGCTAGTCAGTTTGGTTTTGTAATTCTTCCTGGGTATATGTGTGAGTCTTGCCTGGGAGTAAGTGTCAGCTCATAAAGGGCAGAACCGCATTTATCTCCAGGACATACGCCAGTGACCTCAGTGCAGGGAGGGAGCCAAAAGGCCCCTGAATGGGCTGTGGAGCTGGGAGCAGGAGCTCAGGGCTAGGATGAAAAAAAGCTCAGAGCTTCTGCTTGGTGGTCCATCCAGGCACCTATGACCCATTCCCATAATCTGCCCAAGGCCCTGGTTCCAAACCCCATGGCCCTTATAGCCCCAGCCCTGTCCTTTGATGTCAGTTGGCATGCGGCACCAGCTTCTATTTTGCTCAGAGCATTGATTCTGTCCCTTGACCTCTTCTGCTCAGAATGTTCCAGTAACGTCACTTGCTTCTTGCTCCTTCATCCTATCTCAGGAGGATGCTGCCAGGTCTAGATGATAAGTCAGTTTTCCTCTTCCCAGCCAAACCCATAAGGATGCAGAGATAGGTGGGAATTTTTGACTCCAACTACTGAATTTATTTGCCAAAAGTCAATCAAAATAAAACTGAGGAATAAGAGCTCTGGGCTAGAACCTGGGCTCCCAGCCATTAGAAAAGTTCTCAAGGTTGACCTTAAAATGAAGGGATCCAAGAGATGGTTCCCAAAGGTGTAACTCATCATTGGTGGGATATGAGTTAGTTTGAGGTGCAGTATCTTCTGTTTTAATAGTTGCATATTTATTGTGTTAAAATCTAAAAGTTCACATTTAATTTCACTCTGGTCAAGGATATTTTCAGATATGCATGGGTGTGAATTGATTAGATTAGAATGTTCACTGTTTAATTTTTGGACATTTTAAACATTGTTTTATGTTCACTGTTTGCTAACCTCCTAGGTGTGGCAAGTGGTCCTAGTTCTCCATTTTTGGTGTGATATCAAATTCCCTTGTAAAGCGAATTCACTTAAGTAAAAAATGAAGAGTCAAGTTAAGAGAAAGTATTAAGAAAATACAGTGAGAGCCATAGGTGGGTAATGGCTGGGATCATGCAGGGGACCTGAGTGGCCGCTGCTTGGGGAATAGTGGCTTGGGGACTGTCTGGGATTTCCCCATGGCTCTGAGTACAGTGGGGCGGAGGCTCATGGAGACAGAGGGAACATCATTAGCTCAGAATCAGGGCCCACCTGAGCAGATGACGCTGGCATCCTCATGGTGACCACAGTTGTGGGTGAGCCAGTCGCTGTGTAGGCACTGCCACAGCCTGGTTTCTGTCCCCATGCACCCAACATCATCCAGAGCAATGGGGCCCTGGCCTCTTGAGAAATGTGCCTGCCCCAGGGCTGCTACCGCCTCGCCGCAGTCCAGCTGCCTGCACACCACCTGGGCATCGCGCAGGTCCCAGCTATCGTCACACACTGTGCCCCAGCTGCCGTGGTAGTGCAGCTCCACACGGCCCTCGCATGGGTGGCTGCCGTTGGTCAGCCTGAGAGCCACATCTGGGAAAGACAGACAGGCCGGTCACTACCCAAGGGTTTCCCCTTTGCTGCTGTGTTGCAGAGGAATGTGGGCATTTCCTTAGAGCTGTCGAGCTTTGAGGGCTCCCCCTCCTTCTTGGGGAGGGAACCATTGCTGGTTAAAGCTGGCTGCAAAGGTGCTTCAGGTTTGACCTCTCACATCATGGTGATTTTTTTTTTTTTTGCCTGTGTGTGGGGTGTTTTTAAAAGCCTTTTCCCCCGACCAGATTATCTACTTCATAGAGGCCAAAGAGAGCCCCTGAAGTCTTGTGTAAAGTGAAAATCACCAAGCATGCAAACGCTGTTGCTGCTCTTAGTGTAGAATAATGTTCTTTAGACCAGGTGAAAGGAAGTGGCACATGGTTTTGAATAAAACAGCCTCCAAGACAGGGTAGGTCCAGTGTCTTTCTCAGCATAGTGTGAAGTACCTCTGTCATCCAAAGATGCACGTGATGTGTTATTGTAGGGCAGTGCTGTGTGTTCTATCAGCTTCTCCAAGCCTTATCCTGGAAATAAACTAAGAAGCTTGGGAAACCCCTTTCAAATCCCTAGTGCCCAGCTGACTGAGGCAGCTGTTCAGCTTCGCCATCATCACCACACAGGGCCGGGGGCTGAAACGATTTCAGGACTTACCGATATCATTTTCATCTTGCACAAGAGACTCATAAGATGCATAGAAGCCGATGTTGGTGATGATAGCATCGCTATGGAATACCACTGACATGTGGTTGTAGGAGGAGGTAAATATTGGGATCTTCCTGGAACAGAATCTCCCTAGCAAAAAAGGTTCACTTTGTGGGCCATCAAAGATTTCAACGAAGTCGTATGGACAACCATAGAAATCTTCCATTCTGTGAAGTAAAACAGTATCATTCAGAATCGGTCCACTGGGGCTTTCTTCCCAGTAAGCACTGCCCGGATTGGTTCAGGAAGTGATCAGGAAAAACTTTCTGAAACCTACATCTCTTCAAACAGGTTGCAGGAGATAATGACCCTATTGACGTGGGTAGTAAGTATCCTCCTATTTCTAAAAATCTTTTAATGTTTAAAGTTTTACTTCGATGGTATTTTCTAATATGTATTATAAACACGTGGGATAGAATTTAAGTGGTATTGATAGGCATATGGTGAAAAGTAAAATGTTCTTCCAGCTTTAACTACTGGTCCCCTCTTACTTCACTCCCCTTCCTACAAGCAGCTTCAGTGAATGGTTTCTGTGTATTCCTTCCAGAAATAGCCTATGCACAAATGGCTTCCTTACAGCTCATTCCACAGCAATACATACTGTGAGTGTACAGCAATATGTGGATGTACTAAAATCTGTTTAACTAATTCCCTATGGATGGACAATTAGACTGTTGCCAATCTATTGCTACCATGAGAATGTGCCATGATTATCCTCAGTGCACATGAGACTTTATCTGTAGACCAAATTCCTGGAACTGGAATTGCTGGGTGAAAAGATCTGTGCATTTAAAGTTTTATTCAATATTACAAAATGGGCCCTCAACGCCTAGTGTACTTTTGAAAATTAAATATGGATTTTTTTTTTTAGGAAGGAAAGGGGAGGGAGGTAGTAAAACTGGAGTGCATAACTGAATCAAGAGGAAAGCAAAGGTAGGAAATATTTACTCACTTCACCACTTCGAACGTAAGTCTCACATGAGCCCCAACATCTGCTTCTATGTCCCAAGTGCACACCACATTTGTGGGGTAATTTTTAGGATACCAAGGACTGGAGAAGGAGCCTGAATTATTTGTGAGCAAACCGCCACAGTGGAAATTTTCATCTGTAACAAACAGTGAAGAAAACCCATCAAAAGTGGGCATTTACTGGTGCCTGTGTTTTCAGGGGGTTCAAGAGGGGACAGAGTGAGGACAGAGGTAAGGAAGACTTGTTCTAGGGGCTGTTTTGGCTGATAGCTGGAAAGGTTGACTTCAGAGAGTACCCTGAGCTCCCAGTGCTGTCCTGTGGGCAATGAAGATGGTCAAATGTGTTTTCGTGAGGAGCAAGTGATGTGACATATGGTTGAAAGGGCTCTGTGAACCTATGTGCCCAATAGATCTAAGCTTGTAGTGTCAATGATACAGGAGCAAAGACAATGAGACCACAGCACCCTTTCTCAGCATCGCATGTTATAAAACAGCTGGTGTTAGAAAACTCCTGGTTGTACTGTATGCAAATCTCAGCTGAAATCAACACCAAAATAGCTTAAGATATCCAATTTACAGCGGAAATACTGGATTTGGTGAGGAATGTGACACTGTGAGCAAGGACTTTTATCCAGAATGTTCCTTGAAAATACTCAGAAACACTGACACTATAAAGCTGTGATTTCTCTGTGGCCCAAGGGACAGAGATGCCTCTGGCTCCTCCAGGGTTCAGACACTTGCACACTCCATGCATGGATGAGTGTCATTAGATAAACTTGTTGAGGGCTGACCTGGGATGTCTTTTTTTTCCCTCCAGCATCCTACAGTGTAAACATCCCTACAAGCAGTTACCCCTCTCCTCACAGCAGATACTGAATGACCAGGGATTGCATTCCTGTTGAATCTGAACTCTCCCTCCCTCCTACCATTCCGTTGTCCTCGACTGTCCCATGGCCTCACCATTTTGTCAACTCTACTGGGCTGCATTGCTCTTTTTATTTAGCAACAGAGAATTTAACTGGATGGGGTCCCAACCTCAGGATGTAAGTGTCACCAGGATTCACCACGTGAGGGACCTGGCAACAGGTAGAACTGTATAGAAAAGCCATACCTGTTCGTTCTACGTTTGGTTTGCCATCAACACCTATTCAAAGACAGAAGAAAGAATGAGAGATGGATTGAGTAAGGCGGTTACATAACTCATACAAATATTGGGTTCTTTTTTCAGGATCAAACATGTTCTTTTCTGGGCAGTTGGGAATGTAGTATCAAAACCCATCAATGTTGGTTACAAGATTGGCAGCCTATAGCAGTGCCCACGGGGGAAGGTAGCATACTTTCCTCTTTAGTCTCATGATGGTGCAAGTGAAACCTGGTATTTATTTGCTTTGGTCAGTTATTGGGCTGATTGAGCTTTAGACACAGAGCTGAGTTGTCTTTAACACAGTACCTCGGGGAGGTGTGATACTTACATAGTCCGGACCTGTGTGTGATCTTGGATATGCCTTTGTGGCTGCATCAGTACAATAAGGATGCTAATAGTCTACTTTATTAGTAGTGGTAGAGATTAAATGAGAATAAGAATGCACCAGTTTTAGCATAGAGCCTGGCATGGGTTCAGCACTTGTACATCAGCTACTATTCGCAGTCAGGTGCTGGTTGTCACCAGCACCACGGCTTATCATTGCTGGAATAGGATGGCTGATGGCAAACCCTCTATTTAATTACCACAACTTTTCAGGTGGGATCTCGAACAGGTGCAACACTTTAAGTGAAAGAACACTAACTCTTAAGCAAATTTACCTAAGCTGTTGGATTGAAGCCCAGGGCTCATTTCTGAGTTACTGCCTGCTGCTGTTGACATCTCCCTTCCCAGAGATGGCTGGTGGGGAGACTCTCTCCCTGGGTGCTTTGTGCCCCCAGGTGCTCACCTGAGCAGATGACGCTAGCATCTTCGTGGTGTCCGCAGTTATGGGAGAACCACCCTTTGTGCATGCATTGCCACACCTTGGCTTCACTTCCTGTGCACTGCACGTCATCCAGAATGATGTGGCCAGTGCCACCATCAAAGTAGCTCTGAGACAGGGCTGACAGGGCCTCACCACAGCCGAGTTGCTGGCACACCACCCTGGCGTCCGTCAGGTCCCAGCTGTCATCGCACACCGTGCCCCAGGTGCCATTGTAGGAGACCTCCACCCGGCCCTCACACCTGTGGCTGCCATTCACCAATCGCAGGGACATACCTGGGGGAAAAGCAAATGGGGCCTTCTGAACTGTGGTAATGTCTCCAGACTCTAGGACTTCTGCAAATAGAAAATGTTATCTAGCACTCAGACACCTATTCCTGTATTAGGCTGTTGGGCTCTAGGCAGGGTGGCCCTGGGTTCTGATTTGCCTGGAATAGTCCTTGTTTATGAATGTCATAGATCAATTAATACCTGTTAAGTATCTTAGAGTTCTTCTTAAGCTGTCAAAAGTATTCCAGGTGGAGGATAAATTACATGGTCACCCTAAGCATAAGCCATTGGGAACTTTAAAGTGTTCCTCAGATCCTGCTGCAGAACCTAAGAGCTCTCTAAGTGTTCTAGATGGTTTTCATATTAAATTCAGCTTGAAGCAGGTGGCTAGTTGAGATAGTTTTGTGCCAGAATGATTTTTCTATTGCATTTTCCTTTACTTCTTTGCAGAAGGAGGCTTTCTTTTGTATCCATCTACACACACAGTCAATGCAAACTATGTGATTTCAGGCCATCTGTTTCTTCAGCCAGGATGCTTTGCTGGAGAAAAGTGACAGAGAGTAGCAGAGAGGGGTGAGAGTGAGGTTGGGGGCTTTTAGTGTCGGCATGGATGTCACTCCAGATGTCATTAATGAAGGTCAGATTTAGAAAGCATCTTCTTTTTTAAAGAGCAATAGCATAAATCAGACCTAACTCCCAAGGTGTGTGTGTTAGGGTACATACCGCTCTCCCTTTCATCTTGCTGAACTGTGTTGTACAGAGCATAAAACCCTGTGTTGGTGATGATGGGGTCACTTCTGAACACTGCAGTCATGATATTTGAAGAAGAGAGAAACGAGAGCTCTGCCCCAGCACAAAACCGGCCCATGGACAGTGAGGCAGCCTGTGGTCCATCGAACAGTTCAATAAAGTCGTAAGGACACCCATAGATGTCCTCTAATCTGAGGACATGAAGGCAAAGTTAACATCTCCAAGGAAATCGGTAAAATGATTTAGATGGAGTCATCTTTTGCATAGCATCCAGCCAGAAACTGCAGTCATCACTGCTATACCCCCCACTCATCATTTGACCTACTGAATCCACCCTCCTGTCCTTTCCTGCTGGGACTGCCCCAGGTCTGGTGGGCTCTCATTTTCCACCTAGTCTATTTCAGTAGCTTTCCACCTGCCATTCTGACTTTCAGTCTCTCCTTCCCTCTTTCTTTCTACCAAGTGTCTCCTGAATGTCCCCCAACTCTTTAATTCAAATATCACCACTCTTTGGGGGTGATGGCAAAAGTCTAACAATGTCTCACTGGGTAAAATTCTCCAGAAGACCCAGAACAGGGAGAAACGGTGACAGCTGTAAGAGCTCCAAGGGTCTATTGACTCCTCCCACCAATGCCCTGTCCTGCCCTGTTCAAACCAAGTGTTTTATAACATGTTTCATCCAACCTGGATGATCAGAGAAGCTGACCCTGGCCATCCCACCTACTGCTGTCTTCTCCTTCTTTGTTTTCTATCCCATTATTGTGATGGTATCTTTTTTCCTCATAGAATTTTTCAACTTATCACTAGTTGAAATTGTCCACTGAGGTATTGGTTGATTTGAGTACCATTTGTCTCCTCATCTAGAATATAAACTCTGTGAGGCTAGAGATCTTGTCTGTCTTGGTTGGCACTATGAGCCTATTTCTAGTCTAGGACCTGCTCAATAAATTGAGTGGAGGCTCAATAAATATATGGTGAAAGAACATCAACACTGATCCAATATGATAAAAGTATGAGATATACATATTTGCATTTAAACAATAGTAAGTAGCCTTTGATGCCTACATGATGAATTCTCATTGTATAATATATACAAGATAGACATAATTACAGTTGTATACGAACTAAATACGGGATTTGAAAATCTGCTTATTGCAGAACACATCTGTTCCAGTGAAGTGAAAGCCAAGTGCCTCAAAATAACCCATTTTAATTTTTTTAAAGTAAGTGACTGAATTTGTGTGTAAGGTGACAATACTGTTGCAATAACAGATGACACTGCAACCTGATAAATCATTTCATCAGAAAACAGAATATGCTTTAATTAGCAAGAATGAAACAGTGTTAACAGTAATGTCAAAGACTGCAGTTACTTTCGCTCCTGCCTAATACTTTAAATATAGAAATTTTTACAAATTGAGGGGGAAGCAAAGTCCTGTAGGTGCTGAACTATATAAAAAAAAGAAAGCATCAGTGTAAATCAGAGTTTCTCAATCTCAGCACTATTGATATTTGGTCCTGGATAACTCTTTTCTGGACAGGGAGTTGGGGGAGCTGTCTTGTGCACTGCAGGACACTTAGCTGCATCCCCAGCCTCCACCCACTTGATGGCAGTGGTGCCCCCCAATTGGAACAATAAAAAATGTCTCAAGACCTAACCAAATGTCTCATAGGGGTATATAATCACTTCCAGTTGAGAACCACTAGTGTAAATAATAACTTTATGTTCTGAGAAAAAAAAAAGCAAATTTTAATAAATCTAGACTTTTAACATCAAAATTCAGAAATCAGCCTGTATGGTCTGGCTTTGGGCAACACTTTAAACAGCTCCTTAATTTGTGTACTCCAAAATTATAGTACGAAACTTATGTTAGAATAATAACTTTGACATTATGGGGACATGGGCTGTTACAACTTTTTGGAATAACCATTTCCCAGAAGTGATCAAATGAAACTGTGCCCTGAAACGTTAGAACTGTGAATTTCATAGATTTGAAATACATGGTACCAACTCTTCTCACATTGCTTTTGACAAATAAATGTATGTTGAATGAAGGAATAAATGTATGTTGAATGCATGAATGATAAATGTATTTTGCTCATAATGCTCCCTGACATTAGCTTCTGTCCTTTCTATCACAAATTATGTAGCCACCAAGTAAAGCCCCTCCTCCACTGAGTACCATTTTACATTTTTAAAAGCAGCATTTAACCATTCAGAGCCTCAACTGCTGTGGCCAATGATGACAGATGGAAAGCAGTAGCAGAGGTCTGGGCCATACTGTGGGACAAAGTCAGGAAGAGAGAATGACCCAGGTGCAACCCAGGATAGCAAGATGAAACCAGGGTTAAACATTATCAGGAAAAGTAATATTTTTGTTAAAATGTTATTCATATATATATATATATATATATATATATGTATATGTGAAAATGTGTGTGTGTGTATGTATACCTACATGCATATAAATATATATTAAAATAGAATAAATTCCTTAAAAATGAGTGATGGTTGGAAAAAGAAGTAGGATGCACAAAGTGCATGATGGGAGGAATGAATGAACTGTTTAATCTATACAAGAAAACTCTTAGTAAGGATATGATAGAAATTCTTGAAGAGAATAGGAAGCAGATTTGTGTAGCATCAGAGGGAAGAATGAAGATCAGACCATGAGGATGAGGAAGAACAGATCTGAGTTCAGATGGAGGAGGAAGCCTGGGTCTCAAATGGAACTGGTTAAGAGTGAAGGGGTGAGGTCTTCATGTGTGGGTTGTCCAAGCTGCAGCTCAACGGCCTGGTGTCAGGGAGGCCCATGGGGTGTTCTCTCAATGCACAGGAAGTTGAGCTAAGTGATTAAAAGACTGCAAGGGGAGAAATGCCAGATGTAGGTGATGGGGAGGAAGACAGCGAATCACACTGCCACGTGTGTTCCTATGCAACAATTTTGCATGTTCTTCACATGTACCCCAAAACCTAAAATGCAATAAAATAAATAAATGGGAAAAAAAAAGACTCCCCATAGCTCAGATAATCAGAGCAATTCTCTCCTAAAATGTGAAAGGATTTATCCTACAAAAGCCCACCTCATTGAGGAAAGAATGGATTCAAATCTAAACTGGCCTTAACAGTAGAGAAAGAAAAAGTTGCTTACTTCAGGCTTGGGATCATCAGTTCTATGTGGAATTTCTCAGCCACGTGTATCACCCAGACACACTCCACATTGGTGGGGTAGTTTATAGGGTACCAAGGGCTGGAGAAGGAACCTGATAGACTTGAGATTACTCCTCCACAAGAGTTAGTTCCTCCTGAAAAAACAGATGAGAGACCCATGGTTGGTTTCTTTAGGCACACATGTTGCATTTTTCCAGATATGGAATCCAGAATTCCATCAAGCTCAACAGTGAAGTCACTAAATGGGAAGGGATCATGCTGGTGTAGACACAGTTGTGGCTTGGCTGGTATGAGTGATTGTGCCACTGAGAGGGCATGAGGGAGGATGGAACATGCATGCTGTCATCCACAGGCAGGACCCTATAATTGATTGCGAGTGATACTGGAAATGGGATTGGACACATGAATGTAGCATGTGTGTAGTGGGGGCCGCCTGTACTCCTTTAATGCTCCCTCCAGTCTCCTGCCATGCAAACCAGCTCAGCTCAGATGTGGACAACCCACCCATTTTGAGGGCTCCATCCCACCCATTGCCCCTGTGGTAACAAGGGCACACAGAAGTTCATTCTGCTTTTATGAATTATCAAAATGATTCTCTGCAACTAATACTGTATAGGTTGTACTTTCAGTGAAAGAGTTACCTTGTGGTATAGGGGCTGGAGGAATGGTATCTGCAAACACCAAAACCAAAGAAAATCAGGAGAGAGCTTAGCATTCTAAAACCATCTTATACTTAACCACAAATGAATGAGCCTGTTATTACCCTTGAGTTTTAATAAGTGGTATAAACACTCATTTCTCCCTGATCTGGAATGAAGCCTCTGTCCTTCTTTCAGCTGATTCATGAGGAAATCACAAACCACACACAGTTACATGACTTGTTTTCTCTCATATCTAGGTTCCACAACCCAAGAGTTATTCTTGGGTTGACCAGTTACTAGAAATTAACAGTAACATCACTGGGCTTATGACCATACCACTAAGCCTGTAGAAATTTACCAAGTGCTGAAATTCAGGAAAATAAAAATCAGAAAGCTGAGAGCCAGGGTGGAACAAGGCAGGTTGGATATGTATTCCACTGGAGAAAGATGGACCTTAATGGGGAGCTCCAATGAGTATGTAAGGTCCCTTCTTTTTCCTTTATCGTGTCTTCTTGGCTTTGATTTCTATGTGGCATACACAGTTTTCCTTCAGTATCCATGAGGGGATTGGTTCCAAGACTCCATAAGAATATCAAGATCCACAGATGCTCAAGTCTCACATAAAACATAGGAGTATTTGCATAGAACCTATGCTCACCCTCCAGTATACTTTAAATCATCTCTGGATTACTTATAATACATAATGCAATGTATTATAACACTACATAAATGGCTGTTACACTGTATTGTCCAGGGAATAAAGACAAGAAAAAAGTCTGCACATGTTTAATACAGACATAACTATTGATTTTTCTTCTTGAATATTTTTGATCCACAGTTGGTTGAATACGCAGATGTGGAATCATGGAGACGGAAGGCCTGCTATATGTCTATATTCTATGTATGTCCTCAATCCCCCCTTGCATGGCAGGTGCTGAAGGAAGGGCAGCTATGAAAGCCTACTCATGGGAGTGCTGGTATTTGTTTGGGTTTTACACCAAGAGTTTGGTGTGGGAGGAATTTGAAGCAAACAGGTCAGATGTCTTTGAGAACTTCTTTAACCCCATTGTCTTGCTCCTGGGCCAACACCCCAGCAAGATGCAGAACAGTGAAGGTGATGGATGCAGTCAACTTACCTGTCATTAGTCCTTTGCCAGAAGAAGTGTAGTATATCACGGGAATACATTTTTCACTAACTTAAAGTGGCTCAGAATCAATTTTCTTTTGTTAACATGATTGGTATGCAATATTTATCTCAGAGCATTAAATGACAAAAGCCTTATATTTTTGTGTCTTGGTAAGTATACAATGTTCTATCAATAAGCGCTTTTTTGGATTTGTGCTTACAATGGGATACTATTTAGACATAAGTGGTAGCATTTTCCTTCATAGTTTCCTTAATTCCATGACTCATTCTCTTTTCCAGCCAGCTATGCATCCCTGCCTCAGAAAATGAATATTACAGCAGAGAAGAGAGAAAGGCTTTCTGAGGTTTGAAGCCCCAGGCTCCAAGAGGACTTGGGCCTAGAGCTGTTGATGAACTGAAAGCCATTCCCTGTCCTCCTGCTGTCTTTTCCTCCTCCCAGGGCCCAGGCCAGAACAGACTCCTTACTGGGGAAAAAGAGGAAAGCCAGAGGGAATCAAAGAAAGTATGGCTGCTTGTTAGACCCAAGAAAGAGTTCTGCGTGTTCTGCCTCCCCTTCAGAGCAGCTACATAATTTGTGGGTCTCAGTGCAAAATGGAAATGTGGGGCCCTGGCCAGGGATGGGGAAATCACTTTCCCTTCTTACAGGTTACTGCCCCAACCCATGGCATCTGGGCAACCCCCAAGGAATGGAGGTCTCCATTTTGGGATGTAGTTGGGGCCTGGATTGGAAAGGGCAAGAGACCTCCACAGAGCGTCCTAGCAAATGTGCCATGGTTCTGCCAGCCCAGGGCAGGGACAGATGCCAGCTATCTTGTTGGGCTCTTAAACACCACAAAATACACCCCTAACCCCAATAACTTCCTGGTGTCCAGGCCCCTTCTGGGGGCAGAATGTGGCAGTAGTCACTGGGCAGGGTCAGGGAAGAGGCTGGGCAGGGCCCAGGGGCCCAGGGAGCAGAGAAGAGGGCAGGTGAGAACCCGTCCTCAGGAAGCAGGAGGCTGCAGGAGGCAGGACCACACATGCTTCGAAATCTCGAGTTTGGGAGAATGTCACTGTTGCACATTGACTTTGAGTAGGTTGCCAGTCCACTCTGCTGTGTTGGCTAAGCCAGGAGGCCCGCAGAAGAGTCCTAAATGGTTTACTTCTCATCAGCAGTCTGCTCTTGACCCACTGGGAGACAGTCTGGCATTTAATGTATCTTTTCTTTCCTGCATACTTTCATTTTCTAACCATGTCCCTAAGAGGGAAAACTTTCCCCTTCTCTCTTCTCCCTATTGACCTTCTCAGCCATAGTGACTCAGTCTTTCTCCATCTTTCTCCTCCTGCCCTCCCTTTCTCTGCCACCAGAAGACAGTTTTGGATGTGATTCCATTTGGGAAACGTGGCTGCTTAGCTCCTTGCCTGAGCACTAGTTCTCAACATTGGCTATACATTGGAATCACACGGGGAGCTACAAACATCACTGATGACTGAGAGTGACCTCAGAGACTATAATATGGCAGATCAGGGATGCAGCCTGGAAACCAGAAATTTCAAAAGCTTTCTGAGTGATTCTAGTGTGCAGCCAGAATTGGGAATCACCAGCCTAGTCATTGTCTACCAGTGTCTAGGTCAGGACAGAGGTTACATTTCTTTTTAAATTTGCCAAGATAGTAGAAATTCAGTGTTGGACCTACCTGGGGGTGCAGGAGTCACAACTGGAGCCCAGTCTCCAGCATCTGCATGCATACAAGAAAAAATTAGAAAAATCTAAATTGCATTCTATGAAGACAAAGAAATGGTGGCTTTCTAGTGCAGGGCAGTCTCAAGCAGGCAGGTCCCGTGTCATATAAGCAAAAACAAGGCCATGGTTAAACTCTGGAAAAGCAGCTCCAGAACTGAGAGAGGAGCAGAGAACAGGAGCAGCCAATTGTGTGGCCCTGTTGTGTTTGTCCTCAAAATGAAGTCAGGCTCTCAGCATTCTCTCTCTACCTGGCTGAAGGGACATTCATCTGTTGGGTCACTATCCTAAAATTCCCTGGCTCCACTCTGTGCATGGCCTTCATCCATCAGTAGGATGTCTTTGGGTGAAAGATCAGAAAGAATCTATCATGGAAGGAGAAGCTACCTGAGCAGATGATACCAGCATCCTCATCATGGCCACGCTTGTGGTCTGACCAGCCAGAGCTGGGGCACTGGCCAATATAGTTCTCACTTCCTGAACACCAGATGTTGTCTAGAAGGATGTCTCCAGAGCCTGGGACAAAGTGGGCCTTTCCAGGAGCAGCAATGGCCAGACCACACCCAAGCTGCCAACATACAACCTCAGCCTCATTCAGGTCCCACAGGTCATCACACACAGTGCCCCAGGAGCCCTTGTGTAAGACCTCACGTGTCCTAAGCACTGGCCGGAGCCACCCACCAGCCGCAACTCTTGTCTATCTTCTAAACAGAGCAATATTTTATTTTTGAGTTTGGTTAAGTTTTAAGTAGCAGGTGATTTCTAGCTTCTGTGTTTGTGGCTAAGGCAAACACGAGAGCAAAACCTTAAAGCCAACTGATTTCATAATAGGCTTAAGGGCTTCAGAGTGAGACAGGAAGTGGATTTGAATCCTTGTTCTATGGCTTCCTAGTTGTGTAAACTTTTATAAGTGGCATTGTCTCCCCGAGCCTCAGTTTTCTCATCTGTAAAATGGGGACTCCAGCAGCATCTAGAGGGTATGCTACCAATGAGAGTATAATCAGCACCCAGCACATCAGGGTTACTGCAGATCTTGCTTTGTGGTTTTTGTGTCACAATGCTGGGTTATGGGAGGGCAGGTTCCCAGCTGCCTTTTCGTATGTGTCTTGGATAAGGGTAGATTTAATCCACCGAAAGGCACCTGGACCACAAGGGTGACTGTGACTTCACAGAACACAGTGGCAGTGTTCTATCTGGACTGAAGGTCTGTGGCTAGTTAGAGTTATCTGATGTGGAGACACTGTAAGGACAGCCTCCCCTTACTGTGTCCACTGGCTCTGTCACTCTGGTCTTCTTTCTGCTGTTCCAACATGCCCAACTCTTTCCTCTGCTTGGAATGACTTTCTTTGTCATTCATCACATGCCACCTCTTCAGAGATGCCATTTGTTCCATCCAGTCCATTGTAGTACCTTCTCCACTCCAGGCACCCTCTACTCTCCCACCTGGCTCTTATACCCGGCCCTCATCTCTGTCCTTTATCATCCTTACCCCAAAACCAGTTTGTTTACTTCCTTGTTTCTTGTGTTTTGGTCCTCTTTCACTTACCGAAGTCCACACTAGAATATAAACAACATGAGGGCAGGGAACTCATGTAACTGTGCTCTCACACTTACAACCAGACCTGGTACATAGCAGGACCTCTGTAACTATTGTTGATTGGATAAATGGTGGTTTTGAGTTAATGAGTGTCTGGATTTCAAATGTTGGAGCTTACTTAGCTTCTCCAGGGCAGAGTTTCAAACATTCCTTCAAGGGTGAAATATACAAGGAATTCCCTTACTCAGATACAAGCAAACCCCAAACCATATCCAGGGACTGACTACCTGGTTTTCTGGTGGCCTAAAAGAATTACTGGGGTTTCTGCAGGGGCTCTTCAGCATCAGAGGTTTCATAGCTAGCAGGCGGTGTGCTTGCAGGGTGAAAATTGGACCTGGCTGTGGAATGACTGCCTGCAGGGTCATGGCTAACAGGAATCCCGAAGCCTCTCATTTGGATGAGACTAGGTTTCAATGTATGCAACGTATGAAACAGCCCAGCAGGTGGAGGAAGTGGAGTCTTGTCACAGAGGTGTTGAACTTCCACATTTCAGCACTCTGGACAGTTCCCAAGAGGCTGCAGATAGCAGATGCAGCCCTAAGACCCTTCATAGCACCCAGGTTTTCCCTGCAGGCAGTAAGAGCCTGGCCACTCACATACAGAATGCACATGACTGACTCATTGTAACTTCCCATGTGGCTTCATGGTGGGAAAATCTAGCAGCTATGGAGCAGGGTTAATGAAGTCAAGTGTGAGGGTTTTAAAAGACTGAATCACAGGCCTGTACTAGTAAGGGAGTCTCTGAAGTTAGAAACTGTTCTGTCTTTTAACCACCAAAAATGCTTGAAGCTTCCTACCTGACTGCCTTTCACCCTGAGGAATGGCGTTATAAAGAGCATAAAAGCCAGTGTTGGTTATTATAGTATCACTTTGGAACACCACTGTCATGATGTGTGAGGAGGAGAAGAAGATCACAGTTGCAGGGGCACAGAACTTCCCCATGGAGAGTGAGGCAATCCTGGGACCATCGAAGATTTCAACAGAGTCATAGGGACATCCAAGGATATCTTCCAGCCTGGGATGAATAGACATGGAGGGGTAATGGCAGATTAGAAACTTCCTAGATATTAAAGCTAAAAAAAAGCGTGACAATCATAGAGAATAAATATTTGGATTATATTTAAATTGCATACTGAAATGTAAAATATTAATTAACTTTTTCAGATGATCTATCACCACTCTATTTTCTCTGGCTAGGGAATGTGTGGGGCTTTCACCTACAATCACTTAATAGAAGCTTTAAAATTATAATGGTTTTGGCCAATCACAATCTACATAGGACATTAGGAAATATTATTTACACTGCAACTAAATTCATAACAGTCAGATCACCCCAATGATCAGCATGTAACAGACATCACAGTCAGATTTTTCCTACTTCTATATTTCACAATATTTGCCATACTCAAATTCTTGGGCAGGAACAAACTTGATTTTAAAATAAAATCAAGGCAGGATACAGAAGATTATTTGTAGTATGGCACTTACTCATGAGGGAGGCAAGGGGAAGTGATTTTGAAGGAGCAGACAATGGGTAACATAATAGAATTTGGAGGTATGGGTTCAACGTTCTTACCTCATTGTGGCTAATTGTATCCCTAGGGTTTTAGTCAACAAAGATAACATGTCCTGGGGCATTTCTGGCTTAGCACATCTCTGAATCCATGGCTGTGGTAGAATCATGATGGAACACAATTCAGTGCATGCCTGGAGCTAATGATCATGGAATTCCACAGTCCGGCTGTGTTTGTAACATGACGTGTGTCATACACAAGAAGAAGGGCTTCATGCAGACTCTTTTACAGACCCACATGTTGGTGAAAAGGTGGGGCATTGACATCACACAGATCTAGATGGGTTGGCCTTGGGCAAATTAGTTATCCTCTTTGAGCCTCAGGCTCCTCATCTCTAATGGAGATGACAAAGACATCTATCTTTGGGCTGTATAATCCTGGAGTATGGCAAAGCACACAAAGTCTGGGGCAGCAAGTAAAATATCAGCTGTTATTTTATGTCATGGAGATTAAAATGTCAGTGACTTTGGAATATTTATTCTCTTTATGTCAGAGATGAGGCAATGACACTAATGTCTCCTCTTGCTTTGCAGAACATTTAAAAGATACAGGGCCCAAAGCTGGAGTAGTTGGCTAATGTGCATATGACAATTTTCTTACTGTTTAAAATTTGGATTCAAATAAGAAAGTCTAAGAGGACAAATATTGGTATCCAGTGTACAATAAGGGCAAAGCTGTTGAGAATTTTTGTGGTATTTTTAGAAAAAACATAAAAAGAAACAGTATCAAAATATGTTAACAAACCACTTACTGAATTTTTCAACTTAGAAGTAACTCACTTGATAGTGCTACAAAATTAACCCAAAATCTGACTTGAAAAAACTACAGAACGTCGGGCTCTTCTGCTTTCACTCTTAAATTTTTCCCACTAAAATAAATACTTTTAGTCTGATTTTACAAATCAATATTCTTATGTACATAGAATCTTCTCTTTAAAAGTTTTCTTACTTCAAACTTGGAATTACGAGTTCTATGCAAAATTTTGTATCCACGTGGATCTCCCAAACACATTGGATGTCTGTTGGGTAGTTTTCTGGATACTGTGGACTAGAAAATGAGCCAGAGAATCTAGAAATGACCCCTCCACAAGAGTTACTTCCTCCTGAAACAACAGGAAAAATGGTGTTAGAATGTGTCCATCTGGCATTACTGTGTAATCCTAAAAAAGACCAGCTCATACAGTGGTCTGGTGGATTTGGGATGCAGTTAGTTGGCCTGGGTGGGCATGCACAGACCTTTAGCTTAGGGAAGGAGAGCCCATTCAGTCTAATTCAGATGAAGCAAAAAGTATTCATGTGTGCAAGTTCCTTGCTTTTCCCTCTCTCTCAGCACCTGATAAAGAAAATGTCCTATGTGTCCTTTCTGCTTACAGTTTTTCTCCCCTTCTCTAAAGTAGGAGTTTTGTTTGCTGGGAAGGGACAGAGTAAATCTAAATAATAAGAGACTAGAAGGAGAGATGAAGAAACAGAGGCCACATGTGCCTGGGAAAGGGGAGAGTTTGAGGAGGTTTGGGGAGCAAGAGGTTCTAGAACAACTTTGGGTTCTGATAAAGGGACACTGATCTGTTAGGGGATGTTATGACTGGCACCTTCCTTACTCTCCATCACTTTTGCTGGGTAGACTATGTTTTCTTTAACTCATATATTTAGTATGAGACTGGAACTTGCAGGATTTGGGATTTATAAGGCTTAAACAACATAACAGCAAAATATAATAGTTTCATATACATTATCATATTATCATAGATAGATACACATACATGTATGTATTTAAAACAAGATTTCACATGAAGAAGCAGAAAACCTTGAATCATCAAATTATTTTTGGAGGAAATCTGAAAGCACAATATGCTTTATTGACCTTGTCTCTAAACTGTGAAGTTGCTTAATTTTTCTACTTTCTGTTCCCCTTGGTCGACTTATGATTCTCCCAGAATCTCACAAATTCCTTGTCTTTCCTGAGATGGACTGAAATAAGTGATGATGCTCTTAGTCATCTGGTAGTTTTATCACTGACCGCATTTGTAAGATACAGTAATGAGGCCAGGTCAGGCAGACACTGGAGCCTGGGGGAGTTGGACCTTCTGAAATCTCTACACATGGCATGGGATAATGAACTGGTGCCTTCTGTAGGACTATACCCAAAGAGGACAGGCTGAGTATGGGCCCGACGTCTGATCTGGGCAGATATACATCCCCCTTCCCAGCCTGCTCCTCTTGTTGTATGTAAAGTCAGTATTTTTTTACAGAGTTTATTACACAGAGTGGCATCAGATAAACAGAACCCTTGCCCACACCATGCCAGGCTCTGTTGTGCTATGTCCCGGGCACACTGCCCAGCATCTGCCATGATGGTTCTCTTGGCATGGAATGACCATTTTAATTTAAAATAAATGACTACCTTTTATGTGATCCTGAGAAGCTGCAGAAGAACCTGAAAGGGAATGAAGGGAGAAAATAATGACACCCAGGTGAAAATATTTAGTCTTACCTACAAGTCAGTGAAATATAAAGGGTTTCCTCAGAAACATCAATATACTTGGTGCAAACAGAGGAGAGGTTGCACTGAAGGTGCTGAGTGAATATTTTCTATGGTTCTGTGGCAGTTTAGAGAAGGCCACAAATTCCTAGACATGCCTCCTGTCACAAGATGGGGTCTAGGTTTCCTTCCTTGAACCTGGGTGGGTTCTGTGACTGCTTTGCCAACAGAATATGGCAGGAGAGGCTCTACACCTTAAGAGACTGGTGGCTTCCACCTCCCATCTCTGGGAACACTGGCTTGCTCATGTAGCCCTCAGCTACCTTACAAGAAGCCTGAGTGTCACCAGACATGGTGACTCTCACCTGTAATCACAGCATTTTGGGAAGCCAAGGCGAGTGGATCACCTGAGATCAGGAATTCGAGACCAGCCTAGCCAACATGGTGAAACCCCATCTCTATTAAAGATACAAAAATTAGCCAGGTATGGTGGCAGGTGCCTATAATCCCAGCTACTCTGGAGGCTGAGGCATGAGAATTGCTTGAACCCGGGGTGGGGGGCGGGGGGCAGTGGAGGTTGCAGTGAGCTGAGATTGTACTACTTCACTCCAGCCTGGGCAAAAGAGCAAAACTCTGTCTAAAAATAATAATAATAATAAAAAATACAATAAACCAGGAAAACAACTAACACGAAAAAGAAGTCTGACTGTGCATGGTCTCTCAGCAGGGTAGTCAGACTTCTGGCTGAGCTCATCTTTCCAGCTGACCCAACCAAGGCACCAAATCTATGAGTGAAGCTGTGTTGAATTCTCCAGACCAGTCGCCAGATGAACTCCACTGAGCAACACTGCTCAATGCTCTATAGGGCAGAAGGGTCTCCCAGCTGAGCGCTGCCTGAATTCCTGACCCTCAAAGACATGACATACATCTAAATGGTGGTTGCTTTAAATTGCTAAATATTGGGGAGCAACAGATAACCAGAATGGCTCCTTTCACTCAATCTCATTTTTCTCATTTCCCTGACATACATAAAAAGAGAAAACTACAGATGAGTCTTCACTGTAATATCCACCACTCTTGACTCCAACCATGGCCCTTTAACTTTAAACAGTCCCTCGCTTCTCACTCATGATCCCAATAGGTAAAGCTGGCCTTCCCCCAAGAACATCAGGACACATCGAGGTCTTCTCCAGGCAAGTGCCCAAGAGAGATGCGTCTGCCAATGGCTAGTAGCTTGTCTGTGTTCACTGAGGCTGTGTAGGGATCAGCCAGGTGCATTCAAATGGGGAGAGATGGTCTTGTAAATTCCAGTCCTGCCACTTTCTAATCAAGTTATCTTCGGCAGGTTTTTTGATCTCCCTAATCCTCAACTGTGAAATCACCTTTAGTATCATTTCAGAATTCACAGTGTCTGTGGTTGGTCTGGTTTTCCTAATTTTTGGTCTTTGTTACAGATGAATATTAGTCAATAATTCAATGATAAGATCTTTGAAAAGGAGTGAAAGTCATAAGATCCCTAAGAGCATGTACTTTGGAGACAGAATGATCAATGTCAAAATGTGGCTCATTAACTTGCTGAGTGATTCTGAGAAAGTTACTTATCCATTCTGTATCTCAATTTTCCCTTCTGTAATACATAATAGATAATGCCTTTTTCATGATTGTCCTTATGATTAGCAATGACCTGAGCAAAACATCTCCCCATGTTTACTCTAGTTTTCCCTAGTTTTTGTGTAGCTGGGTCAATGAATGGGCAAATGAGATTGATGGCCAAGAGCAATGACAGCTTAGGTTCAGACACCCTGGCTAGTCCTCAGCACCTCGCTAACTTTCTATGTCTCAGGTTATCTGGAATATATGAATAACCCAAGAACCTGCTTCAAGAGGTTCTTGTGGGGATTGTAAGAGTTATATATATGAAGGGCTCAGAACAGTGCCTGGTTCCTAGCACTTATAAGTATTTGCTGCTATAATTTTTTATTATTATTATTAGAAAGATGCCTGAATTAGAAAAAAATATGGACATACCTGGAGGTGTGGCTGGAGGTAGGTCTTCTGCACCTGAATGCATAAAAAAAGGTAAGAGGTTATTTTATTTGGGGTGACAAGGTATAGGAACCCAGAATGCCAGAACTACCCCTTGGGCAACTTCAACCCTCCTCTGGCAGATTCCTTAGCATAGAAGGTTGGGGAACAGCAGCTGTGTCAACTCTGCCCCATAGCAGCCAGGGCTGGATTGCCGTTGGCCCTTCTTATGCAGAATCCCTAGACTACTTGTTAAGATGCATATTCTAGGGTCCCTTTCCTACTTAGTCATAATCTCTGGGGGTAGGACCCTAGAATCTGCATTGTAATGTCCATTTGGTGCTCATGCCAATGAATTAGAGACCTTTCCTGGGCAACTCTTGTGGTGTCCAAAGAAGACACTTGAGAAACAGGCAGACACATGGATGGATGGATGAAAATTCCACCCAGGATGCAGTTTCAAAACGCCACGATTGCAGCATCAGGAATCACTGGCTGAGAGGGGAGAGGATACCTGAGCAGATGACACCGGCATCCTCGTGGTGGCCACAGTTGTGTTCTGACCAGCCCAAGTGGGCACACTGGCCCAGGTAGTGCTCTACCCCAGAGCACTGGAGGTTGTCCAGGAAGACGTCTCCTGAGCCTGGGCCAAAGTAGGCCTCGCCAGGGCTAGAAACAGCCTGCCCACACCCCAGCTGCCGGCATACAACCTCGGCTTCACTGAGGTCCCACAAGTCATCGCACACAGTGCCCCAGGCACCCTGGTGGAAAATCTCCACACGTCCCGAGCACGGGCCTGAGCCGCCCATCAGCCGTAGCTCCGGCCAGTCCTCTGTAGGCAGAGACACAGTATGTGAGTTCCCAAAAAACCCCACCTAGGTCTACCACTGCCACATTCCCCAGTCTTTAGGCTTGTTCTTCAGATTTCTCATGTGTTCCTGAGTTGCAGGTTGTGGGATCTTCAGTCAATTTAATTTTAAGTACGTATAGTTTGTCTTTTATGTTAGATACAGCTCTAAAACGGAGATGTGATTTCTGTCCTCAGGGAGCCCAGAGTCTATGTACTAGTCAAATGGAGACACTGCTACAGTGCATCATTGCACACTATGATAAATGGACCAAAGTGGGGAAATAGGATGCTATGAAAGGGACAATAGAGAGGAAGGGGCTGGGGAGACACCTCTTAAAAAAGTGAGAACAAGCTAGTCATGGGAAGAGCTGAGAAGGTGCCTTGAGCCAGAGGAATAGCATATGTGAAAAGGCCATGAAACCCATTTCACTCTGCATGCATCTCCAAAAAATATTGACTTAACAAACACATAAACACACACACACATATACCCATCATCACATGTAAAAAATCAAAAGTATTTTTAAATAAGACTTTCTAATAGAATCTCAGTGGTGTGAAAATCCCTGCAGTTTAGCTAAAGATCGTGATCTTAGAACTGAAACAACAAATAGCTCAAGGACAAAATCAAGAACAGCTGATATTTAATTCCCATCAGCAAAAGGTGTGACTGACCTGGACTGGTAGCAAGTGATTCTTCAGCATCTGTTTATAGAGAGAATAAGTATGTCAGTATTTTTTTTTGAAATCCTGACTTTAACAACTGAAGATGAAGGTTTTAGTTCCATCATTATATGTGTTTATTAATCTGATGTGGGAAAAATTAGTCCTTTTAAAAAAAACATAGTACTGGGAGAAGCAGATTCATCTGTAGATAATGAAAATAAGTTTCTGTCTGGTTGTTGGTTTGTACTGAGTTATAAAAAAATGGCCAAATGCAAAGGTACATTTGGGATGATCTGACTTAAACCATCAATTTTGTAGCAGGTGAGTTTCACTTTGGGTGTCTTTGGGGGGACCTCAGATTTAGACAATCATCCTCTGGAAGACTGAGATGTGGGAATAACATGTACCCATGAGGTTGTCACTAGGTTACCTGCCAACCATGATAAGATGTCACAAAGCAAACAGACATATGAATGCACCAACACATAAGACAATGATTTTAAGTATGCACCTGAAATTAAAGGTCATGGTTAGCAGATACTGATATGCAATTGAGCTGCTTCTCACATGGGCAACTCCATGCAACTCTAAGCCCTCCTAATTTGAGTTATGATTACCAATTTTTTCAAGTCATATCAGGTATTACAGCTGTTAGTTTACCTAAAGGTATCTCATGATCAGAAATGATTATTAATAGACATTACAGGGGTGGCTAACTTACTGGTAGCTAACTGTTGATACACAAGAAAATCCAGAATATATTTAAAAAATTGTCACAAGCCAATTGAAGTCAGTCAGGTTAGTGCACAGATTTCCTTGGTGTTGTGATTGAGTGAGGAAATGGTAGTAAGAATTACCTATATGTTTAAGGGAGAGTTGAAGAGTTGCCCACATACAGTCTGTGTGTCAGCACCAGCTCTGGAAGCCAGACTCAAGTATTCCTGGCTCTGATGTCTCCCCTAGCCTTGCTACTGCAGGTTGCCTCTTTCAATGAGCTCCTTATTCCCATCATTAAAAAATTCTCATCATTAAACATGTTATTTGCATGTTTCAGTAAAGCACACATACCTTTGGTGATACTTGCTACCAAATTAGAAAATTAGGTTTTATACTGGAGGCTAGCAGATAAAACCTCATCTATTTAACCAAGTTAGAAAAGCTATAGCAAAAATCAAATGCTACATGTTTGAGGATCCTGTATTTGCCCCAGGCTGACTCTGAACCCTCACAGGGAGGTTTTGAAGCATGCTGGGACTGGCAGTGCCCATATTAGAGGGGAGAGGATACCTGAGCAGACGACACTGGCATCCTCGTGGTGGCCACAGTTGTGCTCTGACCAGCCCGAGTGGGTGCACTGGCCCAGGTAGCGCTCCATACCAGCGCACTGGAGGTTGTCCAGGAAGATGTCTCCTGAGCCGGGGCCAAAGTGGGCCTTCCCAAGGGCAGACATGGCTCGACCACACCCAAGCTGCTGGCACACAACCTCAGCTTCATTCAGGTCCCACAGGTCGTCACACACAGTGCCCCAGGTGCCCTGGTGGAGAATCTCCACGCGTCCTGAGCACCGGCCAGAGCCACCCACCAGCCGCAGCTCTGGCCAATCCCCTGCAGAGAGAGATCTGGTGACTGTTGTTCTCTGGGGGCACTGTACCCTTCCCATGGGTGTTGAGCTCCCCACCCCATACTACTTCTACAAGTGGAGAACTTTGTAGTTGATCAACTAGTCAACCTCTTAGTTGGAAGCTGCAAAGTCATTAGGATTGTCTCTAGCACTAAAAAGTCCACTAATTGAGTATTTATTTTTCCAGGGGTATGTGCCGATTTATTTTGGCTAAATTCAGAAAAACAAATAATTTGCACAATGATTTATGATTTTTACAAAGTATGTGTGTGTGTGTGTGTGTGTGTGTGTGTGTGTGTGTGTTCACTTCCACCTTTATCATAACTCAGGAAGGTAAGTAGAGGAGTATTGGTATACCAATTTTAGCTGTGAGGAAACTGAAAGTTGGAGAAGCAAAGTGATTCACCCCAAATCCCACATCTGGTAAGCAGCAGATCTAAAGTCAGGTATCCTGATTCCAGAGTTCACAATTTTTTCTCTGCTATTTTATCTTACTGTCTCTGGAATGACTCTGACACTCCACTTACTTTGCAAAAGTCTATTGGTAATGCAGATGGGAAGCTAACTATGATCAGTACTGGTCATAAGGAGGAAAGATAGAACCCCTCTAGAGAGAATTTGTAAGCTGCTCAGGCTTTGATGACTCTAAAAGTTACCAAAAAATGAACTTTACTCATCCTGGGATGCTAGAGCCAAAAGATCCCAAAAGTTTTAAATCGCTCTAAAAGTTTGGGCAGGGTCAAGTGTCCCATTTGCAAATAGATGGACTATTTGCAGTTGGTCCAGTTTCTGTGTATGAAGCAGATACAGGTGCAGATACAAATGCAGGTGCCAAGACTAAAGGACACTCGGTAAATGAATGAATGTATTTTAGAGCTTACCTGCTCTTGCTATTACTGTCCTGGGTGTTGCTGTTGGGGTGGCTGTGGATACAAGAAGACTTCTTTAATTAAGAAGGGACGACTTGGGCAAGTCAAGAGGGCAGCATTCTGAGATCAGTCTTCAGTAAATGCCAAGATTCTGGCTGATTCTTTTTCCTTGCAATCTTGGTAACATGTGACCTCCCAACTCAAACTCTGTTTTCATGTGCGTCTTTATGTTTCTCAGGTGTGTGTGATTCAACAAAAATAATATTCTCTTTTTCTGCTCAGTTAACATAAATATAAAAGTATTTAAATTATGCTATTCTATGCAAGCATGTAAACTTCATGATCAGTGTCCTTCTGGGAAAAACAGCTGTTTCTTCTGCTTGCTTCTGCTTCAACTTTTTCTAAAAGTGGAGTATCTAATTAGGTGAGTCATTGGCTTTGATAGAAACAAAAAGGGAAATAAAACCAACGATTATCAATATACAGAGACTCAACTGTTGGGAGGCATAACTTGGTTTGCGTGTAAATGGACATCATACTAGCACACAAACTGTGCAGATGGAATCTCTCATCTACAGAAGATTTATACAGGGACCTAGGATCATCTATGAGAGACAGAGCAAATAATGATGGTAAAAGCACTTGGAGGGGGACACAAGAAGAAATTAGGGGTGAAATTTGAGTAATAGCATGAACATGACTCACTGATTAGATGTGGGGTCTGCGACATTGCCTCTGCAAATACAAGGAAATACATCGTCAATAGCCATTTAATGCCAATTACGGTGATTGTTCATTGTCTGCTTTGGCACACAGAGCATCTCCTTTGTGTTTTACAGCATGTTTTCAAAACTTGCTCAGTGAGTCACCCTGGCACTTGGTAAAATACAAGAGATTGTTTTGAACAATGTTTTGGAAAAAGCGGATACTAGTTATTTGCAGTTTCATGAGCTCTGCCTGTTTTCTCTTAGTGGTGAATCATGCAGGACCTCAGGTAATTACTGAACCTCCTAAGCCTCAGTTTTCTCATCTGTAAAAGGGGAAGAACCATGGGTCTGTGTGAGAATAACACACATGAAGTACTTAAAACGCTGCCTGGCATATAATAGGGATCAGTAAATGTTAGCTGCCATTTTGAGCATTTTGATCACTGTTGTTGTTATAATTGCCTAACCCTGAGTACCTTGCACTTCAACAGGCAACCTTGTCTTGGTCCTGCCTTCTTGTCACACATTTTATATTTCCTATCTCTAGGCCATGCTGTTCCCTCACCTGATGTGCTATCTCACCTTCTATACCTTTAACTCAGCCAGCTTTAGAGGCCATTTCCCCTCAATGTTTCCTTAATACTTTTAACCTATATTGCACATTCTGTCTTTCCTAATGTCTTTTGCAGAGGTGCATGCATATGTCAATTTAGCATATTCTAGTATATTTATCTGTTCCATTGTTTGCCTTCATCTAGGGTTTCTATTTGTCCTCTACTCATATCCATGTATTTGCCTTAAACATCCTCTTGGTTGTACATCCTGGGACTACAACTTCTTCTGCAGGTCCTAAAACACCTACCTAGTACTAGATTCAGAGTAACTTCAGAAATAACCTTCTAATTAGCTGACTGTGACGAGATGTTGATGCAGAATGAAAAAGCTCACAATAAAGCAACCCATTATCAAGCATTTATGATGTGTCATCACTTTGTGAAGTTTTTAACTTACCTCATTGCATGCAACCCTCACAATAAACCTAGAAAGTCAGGGTCCCTTGTTGTCCCCATTGCATAGGAAAGGAATGGAGGCTGGGAGAGGTCAAGCTGTTTGCCCAAGGTCACAGGGTAAGTGATAGGACGGTGACTCACACCCAGGCAGAAAGTCCAGCTCTAGAATTGTTGCTCTTTACCATTATTCTCACCTTTGGTTGCAGAATAATAATAAGCAATGAAGTTTTTTCCTAGGTTGTTGAAGCTTCGGAAATACACGAGGGTCATTGAGCTGGAGGAGGAGACGTAGGTGGGGCGGAAGCCAGAGCAGGTCTTTCCCAATGACTTTGTTGAGGATGGAGGACCATCCAGGATTTCAAAATACTCATTGGTGCAGTCGAGACTGGGGAAGCAAACACCATGGATGCCTCTCAGTTTCCTCATCAGAAGACCTTAGAGGCCTGCTGTGAGGCAGATGCTTAATTTTGTTACTATAAAGTTGCTGGAGATAAGAGTAAAAGCCTGCCAGCCATTTAAACATAGCATGGGTTCCTTTGATCCTACCTTTTCCCTCTGAGAGCCATTGCTTTAAGGGAACGGGATTTTAAATGGAAGGGGAAAGAGGAGGCTGGCACGAGATGTGCCCCTGGAAGCAGCCCAAGACAGCAGAGTCAAAAAGCTACACAAAGTAGCTAAGTACATACATAACAGCTTAGGACTTACTCAAGATGTGGAAATGCCAGCAGTATATGATCAGATGCATTCGCCTTAATTTCCCACACGCAAGTGATATTGTCATGCATTTCATTCTGTGGGGGATTCCTAATCGCTCCAGATGAGTTAGTAATAATGCCACCACACCGAGATTTTTCTAAATGTAGAAATATATTTTACAATTTCAATTGTTTCTTAATTCACATCTTTTCTTAAAAAAAAACCAAAACTATTTCCAAAGAAGATTTTATTTGTTATTACTTTGTGAGTATGTCTTAGGATGCATCAGAAGTATCAACTAGTCTAAAAAGTCTTGCAGATTTAGAAATTAGAGGATAAGTGCATTTGAATTTTAAAACATCTCTCATCTCTTTTGAGAATTCTGCCATCTACATGGGCTTGCTGGAAAAAGCTATTATGCAATATCAGCCAGAATGTTTTTCTCTGGTTACCCCCTAGTTGTGGGCTCTGTAGCTTTGACTTTTGTACAGTAACTAATAGTAATGAGTAAAGTACTGCTTCAGTTTCCCAATTAACCTGAGCCAATGTGGAGCCTCTGTGGAAGACAGAGTCCATCCACTATCAGTTATAATTTATTCAAATTGCATTCTTAAAACTTACTATTAAGTACAAAGAAGTTGCCCTTAGTCAGCCACCCCTGGAATACACCTAATACCGATAAGATTTTGTATCTACCTGTCTGCCCACGTGACAATTTGTTTATCTACCCACTGTCTGTCTGTTCTGCTTCTCTGTCTATGCATCTGTTCAACATTCAATCCTGAATTAAAGGTGATGCTGTGGCAATGGAAACAGCTGGCTCCATCAGATTTTCGGGATGTTTAAGAACTGGACCTAAACTCCATTGGCCCTGGTCATCTAGCTGTGTGTAAAAGGACCAGCCAGGCTGTCCTTGCAACAGTGGCATTTCAGCCCTTTGTCCCCAAGTGGCGCTAGAAAAAGTTCAGTGAATTTCTGAAGGCCCAAGACATAAGCAAGAGCAGAGGAAAAAATGGCAGTTGAAAAAGAAAGAATAGAAGGAGGATGGAGATAGTCAGAGAAGGGGAAAAGGTGAAGAAAAATGTGCTCATGGTGGGAGCCCTCTCAAATCATGGCCTTGGGTACCACCCTGGAAACATTGCTCTGTTAATGGCTGCATGCCTGCCCTTCACTCATGGTGTCCATGCTGGGAGACCAGACAGCTAGCATCACTTGATTATCTGGACTTTGTTCTTTTACTAGACAGAAATGGAATTAGAACCATAAATTTACTGGCATTTGTTACTCAGCTTGTCTCCCAGAACACAGGTTGAGAGGGGAGACCCAGACAGGGCAGTAGTACTTTGACTCAATTTCCTTGAAGGATCACATCAGGGCTAGAGCTAGAAGATGATGATCAAGGTAGCAAAGGACACAAAACTCTTACCTGTGCCCACTGTCCTTGCCAGGGCAGCTAATGGGTGACCTGTCAAACACATAAAGGACATGCTTAGGACTTACTTAAGATATGAAAATGTCAGCAGTATATGGCCATCACCCGGCACTGAGGTCTGCACATGAGAGTCCTGAGGAGCTTGCAAAAAATATACTATTTGGGTCACCCCTAAATCTACTGAATCAGAGTCTCTGGAGGAGAGGCCTAAATGTGGAGGCAATTTTAATGTGGAAGAAGAAAGAAGCACTGATCTATATTGTTCCAAGACTTTGATGCATTATTCTCTTGCATATGTGCAAATAAGAGATTTTTAAATTTGAGGTTTAAGAAAACTGAAGACATAAAATTCTGGCATCTGGAGCTTCTTCCCAGGCAACTCAAGGGTAGAGACTTATGAGGTTGTGCTGTAAGAATAAGGAGAAGCACTGAGTCACTGATTCTTCTGATCTGGTGCTGCCCAGAGACTCTGAGTCAGGACCTAAAGATGCTGTGGATTCTCCTCCATGGCCCAACATCTCTCCTGTAAGCGGCACTCAGCTCAGCACCCACTCCCCATTGGAGATCCTCTCCCTGGACCAATTCCATCTCACCTGCTAGAGCTGACAACCCAGGAAGAAATGTGAAGGAAGCTTTTCCAGACCCTATCAAATCAGCTTTGTTCATAACTCACTCTCTGACTGAGAGCTGGCTGAGACCAGGGCATCAAAGGACCAGGGGGTCTGATGAGGGAGAGGGCACTGGCATGGAAAACTCTGGGTGCTGGGGTTGGGAGTGCATGGTAAAGCCAACAGCAATGGAAGCTCTGTGAGACCAGAGCTGCACCAGGAAGGCTAAGGCAAAGAGGGAGTAGAATTGGAATCAGCTCACTTTGCCCAGACCAGGTCCACTAGCCATTTGCTACTGGGCAGGAAGTACTTTTTACCATCTCTCATATCTTAACTGCCTGCCACCCGCCCATCCATTTCTCATTGCCATCCCCTCTGCAAATCTCAGAGCTGGCAAACCAAAAGTATTACCTAGAAGTCTGAGAAATAATCACTTCTTGGCCTTTTGGCTAAGATCAAGTGTAGAAATCTGAGAAAATGAAAATCTACTTCTGGTATACCAAATGCACAGTGGCTGGACTAGATGATTCTAAGGCACTGTCCAGCTCTCCTGCAGGACAATCCGGGGATTCCACAACTCACAGCCACTCCCCCGGCTTGGAGAGCAAGACACATCCCATTTCTAGCAGAGTTTCTTCCCTGAGATTTTGATAAGCTGCATGTATTAACATCACCTTCCCTACCTGGTGGCGTGACAGTTGAATATTCAGCATCTGTAAGTGTGAGAGATGAAGACATCTGCGGTGAGTGAATCAAGCACTGGTTCATTTTCAATAGTTATTTTTACACTGTCCCTTGAGAAGTATTCTCTTGAAAAGAGCTGAAGTGGGGGCCCCACCAGGGAAGGGAGCAGGGGTTTACCTGAGCAGATCACACTGGCATCTTCCCCGTGAGCACAGTTGTGGGAAAACCAGCCGACATGGGAGCATTCCTCAAGGTGCTGCTCGTCTCCTCTGCAGTGTACGTTGTCAAGGAGAATCCTCCCAGAACCTTCCCCAAAGTGGGCCTCACCCGGGGCTGAAATGGCCCAGCCACATTCCAGCTGCCTGCAGACGATGTTTGCTTCTGGAAGGTCCCAGAGGTCATCACAAACGGTCCCCCAGACTCCCTGGTAGAAAAGTTCCACACGACCCGCACATCTTCCATGGCTGCTCACCAGGCGCACAGGGGCCCAGCCTCCTGGGGGAGAACAAAGCAGGCAGAGGGTGATAGCTGCCCCTCTGCCAGTGGATGACTGGACTGTCGTCTACCCAGCCCAGCTCTCCTTATCTCCCATGACTTCGCTACACATATGGTTATGCTGCCACAAGAGATACCATGCCATTCCCCAGACCTGTCTGCCCCAAGAAGCCTATAAATGTCTTCCTTATCCACACTCTATTTTAAGACAGCTTGCCTCGGGTAGATTGTTTACCAAAACAGCCAAACTTCTTCTCTTCCTTATGCTCTTAACAATGTTGCATTGCAGCCCCTCCTATGAAAAGGGTGAACTTATTTTCCCACTCCTTGATTCTGGGCTCCTGAGATTTGACTTGCTTTGGTCAATAGAATATGGCAGAAGTAGCGATACACCCTTTTATGTTCTGTATGCCTTTCATGGCACTTCCCATCACCTACATTGACGGTGGTGGCCTAAGTGTGTGTTTGACATCCTTACTGGATAATAGACATATTTGGGGCAGGGACCAATAGGTGGAGTGGTTAAGAGCATCACTTGTAGACTTAGAACAGGACAAGTTATACAAGCTCCCTAAGCCTCAGCTGCCTAGCTTGTAAAGCGGGAATAATAACCAAGAGGAACAAATGAGATAATGCATGTTATAAGCTTGACACAGTGCCTGGTGCATAGTAAGTACTCAGTTAATGTTAGGGGCCATTGCTGCTGCTGCTGCCCCTGCATCTGACTTCTTTCTGTGTTCTCTCGCTGTGCCTGGCACATGTGTAAGTGCTTACTACATGGCCATAGTAAAAACCTGAATACCTCAGTGAATGTAATAATTGTGTCTGTGTGTGTGCGCATGTGTGTGAATATGCACACACATGCCAGGATAATCAGAGGACTGGTTGCTAAGAACTTTACATACAGTACCCTATGTAATCCCTAACTATCCTTTTAGATATTTCAATTAGCTAAGTAGTAACATTCAAATGCAATATACAGATGTCTCACAGTCTGTGACTTGGGCAGATATTGCAGAGAGAACTCAGACATTCGATGGGTCCAGGCCAGGACTGATGTTGGGGACATGAGGGTGGGGTGAGGTCAGAGGAGGTGGGCCAGATGTTCATGAAAGTCCTCTCCAGCCCAGTGCTCTAGCACTTTAAGTCCAGGTGTTTCTGTGCCTTGCAGTAGGGGCTTACCATGAATTGTGGGTTTTGTTGCCCCAGGGGCAGCAAATGACTCTGGAGCTGTAATGGAGACAAAACAAAACAGTAGCTAAGATGGCATTTATCATACGCTATCTCTTTGCCAGATGCTAGGTCAAATGCTCTGCCTGAGTGACCTCGTTTTGACTTCATGACCACCAAATGAGGGATGGACTATTTCCTCCTATTTTATAAATACAGAAACAAGGACTCAGGGAGAGTGAGTTGCTTGCCCAGAAGCTCACTGCTTGGAAGTGTCTGAACTGGGATTTGAAGTGAGGTCTACATGTCTTCGAAGACCGTAACCCTAACCAGCTCATTTCTTTCTTTCCTTCTTTCTTTCTTTTTTTTTTTTTTTTTTAAAATTTAGTTTATCAAACTTCCTCTGGAAGCTCATTTCTTACCGAAAAAAGATTCAGGTAAAATAAGGTAACTGTATGAAGTCTAACATTTTTATTGCCCATTTTGTCTTCTTTCCAATGTAAAAATATGGAAATAAGGAGGAAATTCAACTCAGAATTTTTGCTCTACATTCTTAAGTATTCATCTAAATTTAAACTTTATACGTGTTTGACTCTGTAGAAAGACAGACATCAGGGACCATTGCATTTGGTGTTTATTTGCTGAATTATCACAGGAGTGAAGTACTATGGACAGAAAGTGTCCCCAGGTAAAAAATATGAAAGGAAGTACTGACTTCATTATCTGTGTGGCATTTTTCAGAAGACTGATATCACACTTATTTGAACATGTGGTTTAGAATCTGGCAGCAATCAGCCTGATGATTTATTATCAAGCATAAATGTTGGATGGCTTGTATCGACTTCCCATTTTTCAATTTCATGTCAGGTAGCTGGATGTTTGAAATACTGGAGTAAACATTGGTACCATTAACTGAACACCTACTATGTGTCAATATGTTTTCTTAAGGAGCGCAGCAAGCAAGTTGTAAGAAAAATAAAGCTCTTTTGCTTCTTTAAGCCTTAGTTTCATCATCTGAGAAATGGAGATAGTCTCTGTGTCGGCAACTTCACTGGATATTATTAGGATCAAATTAAATCATGTGTATGGAGACAATTTGTAAATATCAAGTGTCCCAAATCACAGAGTATTATCTTAAATTGACTAGGTTCAATTGTGTGTGGTTATGCTGATTGGAAGCTAGCAATTCAGGTGTTACAGGTGCCATACAAAGGTGACATTGATCATTCTTCTATACCTTCAACACACATATACAGTAAAAGGCAAGAAAATGGAACTAGTCCTAATACAGATGGGGACTAACATATTTAGGGTGAGTTTTATTTTCTTTCCTGGTGTACAGAAGTTCCTGCAGGCTTGCACCACTTAGGGAGCTTGGATGCTGCTCTTTGCTGGTAAGAAGCTGTGCATGCCAGTCCCTACAGTTTGAGCCTACAGGTTAAGAAGGCTCTGTGGAGCCAATCACAGAGTACATTTCTTTCCTCAGGGAGGTCATCTGGACATCTTGCAAGATGAACTAGAAAGAAGACTTGTAAGATGAAGTAAGTCTTTGGCTCTTGGTTAAGATCAGTAGAAAATATGCACAAGTGTTTCATCTGGTTAACAAAGGGAAGTTGGTCCTACCAAATAATTCAAGAAAATTTGCAAGAATGGAAGAATATGCATCTCTAGCCTAAAAGCTTAAGTGGAGTGTGTGTTCCAGGGCTTGGAACATGGCTCCCTTTCCCCATACCCCATAGAACAAATGCCAACTGACCCATTAGAGAGAGGGTTGAGAGAAGCACAGCAGGCTTTGTGGTGGGCGCAGCTAACAACAGTGCTTGACCTGTAAGTATAAAACAAAGAGAGGCCTTGTTCACTGCTAGATGCCTCCTAGCTACACATGGAAGTAAAAACTTCTGACAAGCCCAGAAGCAATGTCTGGGTTCAGATATGTCCTGTCAGTGTTTTGGTTGGCTTCCCAAGAGGCAGATTCAAGTAGGGAGGATCATCCACTCTCCCTTCTCTACCACATTCATCTATCACTAGTTAGGGCATAATAGGATGGAAAATCCAGCACTTTTAGAACTTCCAATTAGTACATTCTAACCCTTTAAACACCCACAAAATAAATTCTGGATTTTCTATTTCTTTTAGGAACAAACCAGATATATTTAGTTAAATGATTGAAGCTTTTGGCTTATTTCTAGTTTTTTGCTGAATATATTTGGACTCTTAGTCGCTTAAACTGCGGGAGGCTCACATAACAAAATAAGACAGCCTCCATTTCTATCCTATTAACTCATAAAATATCATTCAATTACTGTATTGTTTTACTAAAAATCTAAAATAATTATAACAAAATATTAATATTTGATAGAATCTACTAGTGAGTACTCAAGTGTTCAGTATACTACTCTTGACATTTCTCATTGTTTTTTAATACATTTTATAATAAAAAAATCTAACTTTGACTTCCATCTCAGTTGCGGTAACTGGTATAGAAGGTTAAATATTGACTTCCTTAAGATGTCTACGTTTTAATCACTGGAATCTGCAAATAGGTTACATGATAAGGCAGAAGAGACTTTACAGTTGTGATTAAGGTTACAGATTACAAAGTGGGAGATTATCTTGGCTTATCTGGGTGCATCCAATCTAATCACATGAGCTCTTAAAAGCAGAGAATCTTTTCTCACTGAAATCAGAGAGGTATAGCAGGAGAAGAGGCAGGAGACATTTAAAGCATGGGATGACTTGGCTCATTGGTACAAGCTTTAAAATGATGGGGTTTTGAGCTAGGGAATGTGAGTGGCTTCTAAAATCTGAGAGCAACTCCTACCCAGCAGTCAGCAGGGAATCAGGGACCAGGCAGTTGTACAACTGTCTGTAACTGAATTATGCCAACAACCCCAATGAGCCTGGAAATAGATTCTCCTTCAGATTTCTACTGGCATCATGATTTTGCCTTTTAAGACTTGAAACAGACCAGCTAAGCCCACTGGACTTATGACTTACAGAACTATAAAAATGACACATTGATGGTGTTTAGAGCTGCTAAGTTTGTGGCAGTTCATTATGGCAGCAATAGAAAACTACCATAATTGGGTACAGATTTACCATCCTACATGAAAAACTAAGAAATTGGACAAAATACATTAAATTATGGCTTTCTGATCTTGGACAACAGGGAGCACAGGAGAGTAGTCACTAAGAAAGAGTAAATAAACATAGGGAATCTTATAATTACCCTAGGTTATTAATTAGAGTTCCAGTGTACAACAGAGGGAAGGGGAACCCAGGTGGGTCCTGGCAGACTCTTTCAAAAGATGGATCTGAAAATTAAGGGACAACAAAGTGGCTGGAGTTCACTGGGAAGTACTGGAGGCTGCCCACAGAGAAAGCTCCAAAGATTTTCAGAGAGTCTCTCTCAAGTTTTTATCTGAGTACTAATCAGCAGATGTATGTGGAGAAAATGCCCAAGACCAAGGTAAGAACTGCCTAAAAAGAGTAGGGGGAACAATCTTTGGTGATTGCACAGGGATTGGAATAGCTCCTGTTCCTACTAGCCAAAGTGAAACCAGGTAATCCATGAGGCATTAAGTATGGTAATCAGAAGAGTATTGTCTAGTAGTGGGGAAAATTAGCTCCATACTAAATGTCCTTCTACTCCTACCTAACAAAATTTAATCACAAGGCTTAAAAGGATCAAACTGTTTCCAAGTAACTTGAGTGATTTAAAGTAAGATTGAGAATAAACAATAACTCGTACTCAAAATGGTAAATGGCAACATCTGGCATCCACTAGAAAATTGCCAAGGATGTAAAGAAGCAGGAAACTATGGCTCGTAATGGGAAAAATAAATTTGTGTAAAGAGGCCAATAAATGGTAAAAATAATATAATTTGTACACTAGGGCATGAAAACCATAATTATATCATACAATCAAGAAGGTAGAGGAAAGATGGAACATGAAAAGTAGGGATATGTAAGATATAAAAAAGATGCAAATTAAACTTCTCAAGAAGAAAACAATAATGCCTGAGATGAGAAATACACTGGATATGATTAACAGCAGATTAGATATTGCAAAGAAAAAAATAAGTGAACTTGAAGACATACCCAAAGCTAAATGCCATGGTGAAAAAGACTGAAAAAATGAGCAGAGCATCAGTGAATTGTGAGACAACTTCAAGTAACCTATATTTAATTGGAGTCCATAAGGGAGAGGAGAAAAGACGGAAACAAAATATTTGAAGAGATAAACTCCTAAATTTGTAAAAACTGTGAACCACAGATTCATGAAACTCAATGAACTTCAACCAGAAGAAACATGAAGAAAACTATCCCAAGGTATGATATAATCAAATACATTAGAATTCATGATAAATAGCATATCTTAAAAGCAGCTGGAAATGAAACATTGTATACAGAGGGAAAATGACAATATACTGATAATGACAATATACTGCTTGACAGAAAGAATGAAATTCTGACAACAGCAAAATAACATCTTTAAAACATTGAAACAAAAAGGTCAACCTAGATTTCTATACCCAGGAAAATGATCTTTTAAAAATGATTATGACATAAAGATGCTTTCAGGCACAGAAAAGGTGAAATAATTTGTCATCAATAGACCTTAGGATGTGTTAAAGGTAGTTTTTCGGTCAGAAGAAAAAGGATACCACATAGAAAAGACGCTTATTTTAAATCCTAAAGTAACCACTTAAAAACAGTTATACCTAGTAGACAAAAAAAAGGTAGACATAATGGAAAAATAAATTCCAGATAAAGAGAAGACAAAAACATTGTAAAAAAGAACAAGTGGAATGAATAGAAAACAATTAGCAAAATGGTAAATTTAAATAATTATCAAAATGGTAGATTTAAACTTAACAGTGGTGATTTTAAAAACATACAAATTATTCGATACTTCGTCCTTTGAAAGGTAGAGTTTGATTTCCCTCCTTATGTTTTGGATGGGACTTAAAAACTCACTTTTGAGCAATAGTATACAGCAAAAGTAATGATGTCACTTCTGAGATTGAATTATAAAAGACTGTGGATTCCATCTTGAGCACTCTCTCTGTCTCTCTCTCATCACTTGCTATGGTGGAAGTGGCAAGGAATTGAGGGAAGCCTACAGTTAGAAGCCATCAAAAAACTCAAGTCCTAAGTAAAAGAGCACATGAGGAATAAAAGACACCAATAAATCAAGTAAGTGAATTCAGAAAAAAGCCCTGTGTGATTCTTGACTGTACCTCTGGTTGACTGCTTGACTATAACCTCATGAAAGACCCTAAGTCAGGACCACCCAGCTAAGCTAATAAGGTATGTGACTTACAGAAACCGAGCTAATATCTGTCATTTTAAAATGCAAAATTTTGGTTAATTTGTTATATAGCAATGAATAACTAGTAAGCTGTATTTGTCAGTCATCATATTAAATACAAATGGTCTAAACACCTCAAATAAAAGGCAGAGATTTTCAAACATGATTTTAAAGAAGTAAAACCCAAGTATATACTACCTAAAAGATCTCCACTTTAAATTTAAACACACAGCTGGGCACAGTGGCTCATGCCTGTAATCACAGCACTTTAGGAGGCTGAATTAGGTAGACCACTTGAAGCCAGGAGTATGAGATCAGCCTGGCCAACATGGCAAAACCCCATGTCTACTAAAAATACAAAAAATTAGCCAGGTGTGGTGGTGGGCACCTATAATCCCAGCTACTCAGGAGGCTGAAGCAGAAGAATTGCTTGCACTCAAGAGGCAGAGGTTGCAGTGAGTTGAGATCACACCACTGCACTCTAGTCTGAGCAACAGAGCGAGACTCCATCTCAATAAATAAATAAATAGATCCAGATAGGTTAAAAGTAACACCATGCTAGCAGTAATCAAAATGTGGTGTGTCTGCTAATAAGAGAAAAAGTGGATTCTATTGCCAAGAATAAAAAATTATTTATGCCCCCTTGTCATTCTATTAGTTTATGCTTCATGTATTTTGAAGTTGTGTTTTAAGGTGAATAAACATTTAGGGTTGCAATGTCCTAGATACAATTTCTACTAATGAATTGAGTCCTTTATCTATGTTTCATATGTGAGTTTGTGTGCCACCTCATCAATGGGATTTCTCTCATCTTCTTTCTGTTTCCATCTTGCATGAGGACTGGTCTAACCACTCTCCTATCAAACGTATAGAGAAGGAGAAATAGTCTGTTCTTTCAAGCTCTGTGTTCTCTTCCAATGATATATTAGAGAATCACCCCATTTTTAGACTCTTGAAATTAAGAATATGCATCATAATGAGAATATGAGTGTCCACTGACTAGCAAATCTATAAAACTAACTTGTTTGGACCAGCATGTGTGCCATTAGAGAGATATGGATTCAAGTTTAACCGACATTATTTCAATGACTAAGCCCCTGAACCATTTAGAGATGACTAAGCATTTCCAATGTATCTATTGTCAGGCAAGTTCAGGAATGTTTAAGTCTAGGTGACAGATGAGAATCGATTTCTCATACTTCCCTTCCCCCTTAAGTCTTCTTTCCCTTTTGCTGTGTGCCCCTCTCTGTGGTGTAGTGTGAGGTGAAATAATTGTTAAATCTTCCAACCCTGGAGTGACTCAACCATGTAGGACCACCAAGCTGTAAGACCTTAGAGACCACCATTTGCATATGACATGTGACCACCTGCATGAGGATGAAATGCACAATGTATTCTAGGAAGATAGGGTCCTGGGAATTGTGCAGTGGAAAGTCTGTGCTATCTTGGCTTATGCAAGAGACATTCTATGGAGGAAAAGCTACAAAGCAAATTGAACCAACCCAATGGTGTGTATGATGAAGTGACAGCTTCAGGTTCTGTGAATGGAGTGGGACCTGGTGAATTGCCAGCACCTGATGATCAAAAGAAATCAACATGCTAACATTTACAGTGCTATTTGTAATATAATACTTAGCAAAATCAATCACTGAGTATTATTCAAAGGGAAAACCAAGAAATTACTTCTTTTTAAGGAAACAGCCCCTTACCTGTGCAGATGACACCGGCATCCTCCAGGTGCCCACAGTTGTGCCTGGCCTGGTCCCCATGCATACACTGCCCCAGGTGGCTCTCACTGCCCACACACTGTACGTCATCCAGTAAGATCTTCCCAGAGCCTGCCCCAAAGTGGGCCCCCAAGGGGGCTGCCATGGCCTGGCCACACTGCAGCTGGCGGCACACAACGGCAGCCTCGGCCAGGTCTCAGTGGTCATCACATACAGTCCCCCATGTGCCCTGGATGAGAACCTCCACATGGCCTGAGCACCTCCCTGTGCCATTCAGCGGCCTCACCTCCATCCAGGCTCCTAGGGAGGCACAAGAGGGAGGGGCACTGGGGAGTGGCCTTTATGTTGGGCTGATATACTGCTGATGTCATAATACTTGTATCTTCATATGATATTATTTCATAGGAAGAGTAATAGTAACAATAATAATAATAATTTCTACCACTCACATTTCGTGGTCATTACCAATAGCAGGTCGCATCCTAAATACTTTACAAGCTTGATCTTATTTGACCATTACATCTCTCTTGTTGGGTCTATTATTACCGCTGTTTTGCACAAGAAGAAAGTGAGACTCAGAAAGTCCAAGTTAACTTTTTCAGGGTCAAAGTGGCAATGTGAATTGGAACTGGGTAGATTGGTTAATATTCCATGTGACTTTCTAAGGCCAGTGAACTTTGTTATATGTATTTTCCACTCTGAAGTTACCCTTCTCTTTCCCTCTCTGAAGCTGAGCCCTGTGCCTCTTGCCTGGGTCAGGTTACATGCAGAGTAGAGAGCTGATAGAGACTGTAGGATGTTCTGGCTTTGGTTTTCAAAGACCTGAGATCAAGGAAGAAAAGAAGGTTTGAGGGAGAGAAGTGCTTATTGTAACTTTATGTGTAACTAAAAAGGAATTTCCTCTGGGTTAGGCAGATAGAAGGTTCTATGGGTCTTGGAAAATGTGAGTTAGAACTCCTACTTCCTGGAAGTACCTCAAGGAGGCCAGAAGACCCTGGCGAGCAGCTGCATCAGACTTCTAGAGAGATAACACCAGATCCCTGGGCTCCCAACTTACGCATGTCCCTTCAGCCCACACGTGGCACAAGAACTCCAGAGGACCCCTGACCTGGGGGGTCCTCCCAGCCATGTCCCAATGGATGCTGGCTAGTCTTTCTGTGGAAGTCGCCTCGGTATGGGAGAGTGTCCCATGACAGACTGGAGATTATAGAGCATTCTTTCTAGCATTAAAGACATTCTTTTCTTTGCTGCCAACACAGTTATACTTTAAACCGCAGAATATTCACTTAATGCCTATTATGTGCAAGGCTCTATAAAAAAAGAGTTTTCACCTTAAGGGCTTTAATCAGTGATAGAATGGAGAAAACAAAGGAGAATCATTTCTCTGTCTAGTGAAAGTAATCATTAAACCTCTAAAAAAATCTGGAATTCTGATGGTTGTTTTATTTAGTAATTTGTTGCCCTGATCATCATACTTATATTGACATTATGTGTTCTAGAACTTTCTAGAAACACTGGTGAGGTTTCTTTCTTAAGCCAACAGGAGGAGTAAAATATAGACCTACTACTCTGTTAGATTTCTTAAACAAAAAGTTTGAGTCTGTGTCTCATTATTTTAACAGCACTCTAGCTTACAAAATAGGAGCAGCAGTGAAATACAATACACTATCACCTAACGTCAATTATCCAATGCAGAAATATTTCTCATGTCTAACATATGGGTTGTTAGAAAATATATGTGAGGAAAAAATGTAGTGGAAATGTGAGTTGTGATGATAATTGTAAGTAGATCATGCTCAGAAGAGAAGGTGAGGAAAATTTCCTGGGATTCTAGGCCAATCACCCCTTTAAAGGCTCAAATTGTTCTGGGCTTGCAGCCTCCATTTCATAAACAACCCACTCCTGCTCACATTATTCAGCATGACCATGACCTCCTGTTCTCAACTCAACCCCGTCAGGAACTATGCATAAAAGATGAACCTCTTGGCCGGGCACGGTGGCTCACACCTGTAATCCCAGCACTTTGGAAGGCCGAGGCAGTTGGATCACGAGGTCAGGAGTTTGAGACCAGCCTGGCCAAGATGGCGAAACCTAGTCTCTACTGAAAATACAAAAATTGGCCGGGCATGGTGGCGCACACCTGTAATCCCAGCTACTCAAGAGGCTGAGGCAGGAGAATCACTTGGACCCGGGAGGTGGAGGTTGCAGTGACCTGAGACTGCACTACTGCACTCTAGCCCCAGTGACAGAGCGAGACTCCATCTCAATTAAAAAAACAAAAAAACAAAGAAACAGATGAACCTCTTTTCTCAACAAAGATCCTGCAAGCAACCTGTGTCCAAAAAATGGGGCCAGCTCACTGTGCAGCACTACTGACAACAGAACAGACTGCCTACTACGCCTCAGCTCCTAGGAGGGCATAGGGTTAGCACAGCTCTCACCACAGTCCATCCGTTCTGTCCCCAAGGTGGTTATGAGGTAAGTCAGAATCCTCCCCTATGCCCTGATTTGAAGCAGTCTCATGGTGGGCAAATGCATTGTGTTCTTTCTCCCGAAAAGTCCTGGCGGTGCTGAGGTCCAGTGGGTCTGCATGTGTTCATTACTTGGAAGAATTCAGAAGAGCAGGATAGAGACACCTCCATAAGACATGGCAGGCACAGTGCCTGGGGTCCATGTGATCTTTAAGGGCCCCCAAATATGTCTTCATTTGTTTTAAAATCAGAAGAAATGACTATAATATAGTCTTTATATAAACACAACCATAAAATAGAACATATACATACATATCTGTGTGTATATAAATATACTTTTTTTATGGAGGTAGGGGTCCCTGTAGGCAAAAGTTTCTAGGGGCTCAGAATGTCAAAAAGTGGCCCAAGTGGAGGCCTGAAACAGATGAGAGACCTCTGCCTGCTGTGTGATGTTTTTTGAGGAGGGAGCAGAATGACTGTAAATCTAGTTTAGCGCATCTACACAGCCTTAAACTGCCACTGTAGTATTTATTCAAAACGCAGACATGCACGCACACCATTAGGCTTGACCTAGACACATTGAGTTACCACTGATGTGAGTTACTGCAGAACCAGCATTAAAGTGTCAGAATGCTACAACGAGCTTTCTTTCTTTGTAAAGCAGATGTACAGGCAGTTCCACCCCGGTGAGAAAGGAAGATACTGGGATTTGGGTTCGTACCTGATATACAGTATCAGGTAAACTAAAAGGATAAATCTTGCCTAACTGTTATAGGGAAAAATATAAATCAGGAATTTTATATTAAAAGCTATAGAGTAGGTGGCCACTCACAGCTGACTCCCTGATTTCTTGGTTATAGTCTTGATGTACCTGGGACATAGCAATTAGGCTTGTAAGCATGTTCTCTTTCCAATAGCCCACAGGTAGCTTTGGAGAACACTGTCCTACCATCAAAGGCAGCTGGCTAAGCAGAGTCACATGGGTTTGGAGTCCGACATTTGTGCCCAGATCTTGGCTCTGGCACATTCTAGTTGGGTGATGCTAGGAAAATTTCTGTGTCTCATTTTATGAAACAGTGAGGTTGGGAGAGGGGTAGGATAACACTTGTAGGTAGTTGTGAGCATAGATTAGTGACAGCATCTGATTCTCTGCTTATCACATTATGGTTGTTTCATAAATGTGAGCTCCTTCCAGTGGTGGCTCCCAAGGACTTACCTGCCAGAGGCATGGGTGTGGATGGCAGGGCTGCAGGCTCTGTTATGGCTGTGGTTGCAGATAACCCAGCACCTGTCACAGGCACAAAGAGAGACAGCCCTAATAGTTAGGACATTCCCTAAACCCAACCTGAGAAAGATAAAAGTTTGAAAATAGACATGACCTGAAGGTCACAGTCAAATATGTAGCATCAATTTCTGACTCATCTCCCCCAGAGGCAAGGAAAATTTGCAGGAGTATGGTTAGCACTTATCGTGGCTTTAGGTCTGGGAAGGCACTGGCCCAGTGCTGGGTACATGGTTCCCTTTCCCCATAAAACAAATGCCAACTGACCTGTTGGAGGAGGAGTTGAGGGAAGCACAGTGGGCTCTGAGGTAGGCACAGCTAATGACAGTGCTTGACCTGTGAATGCAAAACAAAGAGAGGCCTCCTTCACTGCTAGATACCTCCTGGCGGCACAGGAGAATGTGAACTTCTGACTATAAGCCCAAGAGAACTGCTAGTTCCAATGTGTCTGTCAGGGTTTTGGTGGCTCCCATATCTCCTTCCCTGCCACCTCATTCAACATTAGATATCAGATGCCACAGTGAAATGAAAAGTGCCAATACTGTGAGGACACACCGTTGGGTTGTACACTCTAGCCTGTGAAGTGCTCACAAAACCATCTGTGGATGGTTTCCTCTTTCTTTTTGGAGCAATACATGGACATGGCAGTCAATGAAATGACTGAATGTTTTGGTTTCCATCTGGATCTTTGGTGGCTGTACCTGGGCTCTGAGTAGCTAAGCCACATGGGGCATTAAGGCAGCCCTTTTCATCATATTAACTCCTAAATAGCAATCAGGTATTTGTTGTTTCCTTTTAAAAAGGCTCTCAAACAATTAGGGCAAATATTAGGATTTCACAAAACTTGATAGTTGGTATCCTGGGGCTCACTGTACTATTCTCAGCATTTGTCAGTGAGTTTGATACTTTTCATAATAGTCTTTATATATGTATGTAAATCAAAACTACTGAATACTCTCTTCATTACTGTGATTATTTAAAATAGTTTGGGAGCAGGCCTCCAAAGGTAGTTAAATCATCAAACTGGTTGTTTAAAGTCAGTTGGAGTAGAAAAAGAAATAACCATATATTTCTTTTTTTCAGTTGGTCATATAATACAATGTAAAATCAATCTTAATATGTCAGAAATGTACAGAGTTAGTAGGGCTTGGTGGGTCATGCCTGTAATCCAGCACTATGGGAGGCCGAGGTAGGCAGATCACCTGAGGTCAGGAGTTCGAGACCAGCCTGGCCAACATGATGAAACCTTGCCTCTACTAAAAATATAAAAATTATCCAGGCATGGTGGCAGGTGCCTGTAATCCCAGCTACTTGAGAAGTTGAGGCAGGATAATTGCTTGAACCTGGGAGGCGGAGGTTGCAGTGAGCCAAGATCATACCATTGCACTCCAGCCTGGGTGACAGAGTGAGACTCTGTCTCAAAAAAAAAAAAAAAAAGAAAAAGAAAAAAATATACAGAGTTGTTTTCCTGAAAGTGAAGCAGCTGGCGGTCAGCTCCAGTCTGGGCAAAGAAGGTGCTACTGTGAGTGTGTGGCCTCCACCATGGGAATTTCACTAATCATTGTTCTGTTCTGTTGTCCATGTTATCATGTACTGAAGGGAAGGGGCTTCATTGCTCTCCTATCAAATATCTACAGAAGGAGGAAGAGTGTTTTTTATGTTTCCTGCATCCTCTTCCAACTACTTATTTCTGCTTTTTTCAGATTCTCAAAATTAAGAGGATGCTACATAATAATAATGCAAATATTTAGCATTTTAAAGCTATAAGCAGTTTTTAATACCTATTCTGATCACTATATATGTATCTTGGAGGATATCAATTCAATCCTAACTGATTTTGTTTAAATTGACTGAGCTCCTAAACCATTTGGAGACAACTAAAATTTCCAATGTGCAGGCATAGTTTGGGCAAGTTCAGGAATTATTTAAGAAATCCAGATGATGGAATGAATGAGAAGCTTGTTTCCTTTCTGCTCTGTGTCCCTCTGTATGGTGTGCTGTAATGTGGAATGATTGTTAACTCTCTTAATCCTAGAGTGACTCAACAATGTAGGATCACCTAGCTATATGACTCCAGGGACCACCATTCCCTCATGCGCATGAGGATGCAATGCACAATACATTCTAGCAAGGTGGAGCCCCGGAAGTTATGTGGTGCAAAGGCCCTGCCATCTTGGCTTAAGAAAGAGACATTCTATGGAGGAAAAGCAACAATGCAAAAGAACCAAGAAAAGATTGGACCAACCTGATGGTGCGTATGATGGGGTGGCAGCTTCAGGTTCTGTGGTTGGAGTGGGACCCAGTGAATTGACAGAACCTGATGATCAAATAAATCAACATGCTGTGGTCTACAGTGCTATTACAATATTATGCTCAATGACGTCTGAGAATATGAGTTGAATATTTCTGAAAAGATATCAAAGGAGTGACATCCAGGAGAGGTAACAGCCTCATACCAGTGCAGACAGTCCTAGGGTTTCATGAATTAGATTACAGCTCATGAATTATTTGGAAACAACTGGCATTTTCTAACAACAGCTCTTGGCAAAAAAACATTGAGACATTCTAATGGGATTTATTTGATGCAACAAATATTCCGTTGCCTAAAGATCTCCATTTTTTGTTTATTCTTATCTCCAGACTTGTCATGAACAGAACCCTCTGACTGTGAAATGGAAGAGGACTAGGGGACTTTTTCTCTAGCCCTGAAGGAGCTCTACCATGACTTAACAAAATGACTTGTGGAAAGAAAAGTACACTCAAAGCAAACTACCCAAAGATTAGACCCACCTGGGAGCATGTCCGATGTAGAAGCCACTTCAGCCCCTGTGGTGGGGGTGGGGGCTGGAGAACCATCAGCACCTAATCAAGAGATCAAAGTCTATAAGGTTATTTATAATGCATTGTCCAGTGGCTTCTATTAGTGTTGGCTGCCTGTGACAATAGTGAAGTCCTGGGAGGTAACAGCCCTCACCTGCACAGATGACACTGGCATCCTCCAGGTGCCCACAGTTGTGCCCGGCCTGGCCCCCATGCACGCACTGCCCCAGGTGGCTCTCACTGCCCACACACTGCATGTCATCCAGCAGGATTTTCCCAGAGCCTGCCCCGAAGTGAGACCCTGTCGGGGCTGCCACAGCCTGTCCACACTGTAGCTGGCGGCACACAACTGTGGCCTCGGCCAGGTCCCAGAGGTCGTCACACACGGTCCTCCATGTGCCCTGGACAAGAACCTCCACGCGGCCTGAGCACCTTCCTGTGCCATTCAGCAGCCTCACCTCCATCCAGGCTCCTGGGGAGGCACAAAGAGAAGTACTGGGGCTGGCTCTGATAGCAGAGACATTTCTCTCATCCTTTTTGGATGTGAGTCTGTTTATCACATAAACTTGTGTTGCACATATGGACAGGACAGCAAGCATAATCACCTTCAGTTTCAAATGACCAATCTTTGTTATAAACCTCCCCTCAGAAAAAGGTAGTTTTATCTTGAATTCTATATTAGAAGTTTCTGAAAGGATCCATGGTGTTTAGAAGGATCCATTCTATATTAGAAGTTTCTGGAAGGATCCCATACAAAGCCATATTATTCATAAAGTTTTTGTTTGTTTGTTTGTTTGTTTGTTTGTTTTGAGATGGACTCTCTCTCTGTTGTCTAGGCTGGAGTGAAATGCATGAGGTCAGCTCACTGCAACCTCTGCCTCCTGGGTTCAAGCGATTTTCCTGCCTCAGCCTCCTGAGTTGCTGGGATTACAGGTGTGTGCCACCATGCCCAGGTAATTTTTTTGTATTTTAATAGAGACAGAGTTTCATCATGTTGCTCAGGCTGGTTTCAAAATTCTGACCTTGTGATTCGCCTGCCTTGGCCTCCCAAAGTGGTGGGATTACAGGCCTGAGCCACCACACCTGGCCTCATAAAGTAATTTTATTGTATGAAACTCAGGGATGGAGATATGTAAAATACTAATAGATTTATAGCAACACATAAGAGGCTTAACTGCATGTTTACAGATAATAGTTATGTCCTGATATCCAGAATGTTCATAACCATATTAGCATTAAGATTTTCTAATACATCGACTCTCACAACTATAATTCGTGAATTTATGATAATGGAGAAAGCTAAATATAAACGTGTATCTAGAATTCAACCATTCACTTCTTGTATATTAATTAGTTCTCTCATTTTTAAGGTATTCAACCACCATTCTGAAAAGGGATATTGCACCAGATTTAGAAAAGAAAACTGACTCAAGTAGAACACCTAAATTGCTCAAGATCATATACTTCGAAAGTGAAAAAATTTACAGCTCTTTCTATTATATGTAGCTACCTCCCAAAGCGACCCTATGCCTTTCCACCTAGCTTGGGCTGATGCTGGGGACCTCAGCATCCATATCTCCTGGTTTCTCAGGCAAGTTTTTTCATACCTGTTGATGAAGGTGTGGAGGACACAGGGGTTGTGGTCAGTGAAGTCTCCGAGGTGATCTCAACTATATGAAACAATAAAGTCATTATCAATAACAATATAACATAAAAAATAGAAATAAAAACTAATGATAATTTCTTCAAGAGTTCAACCTAAAGCTTAATAGCCATCTTATTTGGAGGATTATGTTTTCATCCAACGAGGTAGGCATCATTCCAGTTACATCGAGGATTCTGTGTTCAGGCCATTCCTTGCCATAAAAGAAACCAGTCTTACAGAGCTGTCCTGATTTCAGGCCAGGGCAAGCTGCAGAAAAGCAGGTCTCTAATGGCCTTGGCCAGCCCAAGTCTACATCCCTCCTTCTATGGTTTTCAGAATAACTCCAGAATGTGCTGAGAATACAATATTCTGAGACAAGAAGGAACTGTCTGGAACAGCTTGGGCTTTGTCCTCATCCTGGAACAGGCTGTTCCTCCTAGAACAGGGTGCTCTGCAACATGAGCCAAGTGGCCCCCAGTGGTACCATACCCTGAGTGGAGTGCTTTTGGGGTCCCTCAGCTGTGTTGTGAAGTGGAGCACATGCAGATGAGACTCCATCCACCCTGAGAAGCTTTCCTTATCCTTGGGGGACCACCTCCCCATGATCCTAGGTTTCTGGGGATCCTTGCTGGCTGTCTATGAGTAATCAAGTTGCTTAGTTGACTTGTGCAAGTGCTCTGTCTCATTGCGCTAGACCTAGGAATGCAAGTGGTAGAGCTGGGACTGCTGTGAGGGCTGAGTCTTCTTTCAACTGCCAGAGTGGAGAACTCTTGACCAAACAGCTAATGTTACGTTGAATTGTTATCAAACTAAGACTTTAAGAAACAAAACAAAGTTTTGTTAAGTTTCTCAAACCTACTACTGTGTAGTAAGCTATCTACCCAACATTAATAATCTTTTGCATCAGTGCTATTAGTAGGGATGTTTAGTCAGTCAAATAGTACCTGTAGAATACACAATTTGTAGTAATCTCTGATGCTGGTTTGTATTTCTGTGGAATCTGTGGTGATATCTCGTTTATCATTTTTTATTGCATCTTTTATTATTCTCTCTTTTCTTTTTTATTAATCTGGCTAGTGGTCTATTTTGTTGATCTTTTTGAAAAACCAGCTCCTGGATTTATTGATTTTTTGAAGGGTTTTTTGTGTCTCTATCTCTTTCAATTCTGCTCTGATCTTAGTTATTTCTTGTCTTCTGCTAGGTTTTGAGTTTTTTTGATCTTGCTCCTCTAGCTCTTTCAATTTTGATGATACAGTGTCAATTTTAGATCTTTCCTTGCTGAAGTTGAGGCAGCAATTAATACACTACCAACCAAAAAAAGCCCAGGTCCAGATGGGTTCACAGCCGAATTCTGCCAGACATACAAAGAGGAGCTGGTACCACTCCTTCTGAAACTATTCCAAACAATCCAAAAAGAGGGAATCCTTCCAAATCATTCTATGAGACCAACATCATCCTGATACCAAAACCCAGCAGAGACTCGCAAGAAAAGAAAACTTCAGGCCAACATCCATAATAAACATAGATGCAAAAATCTTCAATAAAATACTGGCAAACCAATTGCAACAGCACATCAAAAAGCTTATCCACCATGATCATGTAGGCTTCATCCCAGGGATGCAAGGCTGGTTCAACATACACAAGTCTATAAACGTAATTCACCACATAAATAGAACGGAAGACAAAAAACGTATGATTACCTCAAATGATGCAGAGAAGGCCTTTGACAAAATTCAACAGCCCTTTGTATTGACGGAATGTATCTCAAAATAATAAAAGCTATTTATGACAAACCAACAGCCAATATCATACTGAATGGACAAAAACTGGAAGCATTCCCTTTGAAATCTGGCACTACACAAGGATGTCCTCTCTTACCACTCCTATTCAATATAGTACTGGAAGTTCTAGCCAGAGCAATCAGGCAAGAACAAGAAATAAAGGGCATTCAAATAGGAAACGAGGAAGTCAAATTGTCTCTATTTGCAGACGACATGATTGTATATCTAGAAGACCCCATCATCTCAGCCCAAAAGCTCCTGAAACTGATAAGCAACTTCAGCAAAGTCTCAGGATACAAAATCAATATGCAGGAATCACAAGCATTCCTATACACCAATAACAGACTTAAAGAGAGCCAAATCAAGAATGAACTACCATTCACAATTGCTACAAAGAGAATAAAATACCTAGGAATACAACTAACAAGGAACGTAAAGGACCTTTTCAAGAAGAACTACAAACCATTACTCAACAAAGTAAGAGAGGACACAAACAGATGGAGAAACATTCCATGTTCATGATTAGGAAGAATCAGTATCATGAAAATGGCCATACTGCCCAAAGCAATTTACAGATTCAACGCTATCCCCATCAAGCTACCAATGACCATCTTCACAGAACTGGAAAAAACCACCTTAAACTTTATATGGAACCAAAAGAGAGGCCGCTAAGCCAAGTCAATTCTAAGTAAAAAGAACAAAGCGGGGGGCATCACACTACTGGACTTCAAACTATACTACAAGGCTATAGTAATCAAAACAGCATTATACTGGTACCAAAACAGAGATATAGACAAATGGAACAGAACAGAGGCCCCGGAGGCAACACAACACATCTACAACCATCCAACCTTTGACAAATTTCATCCCAGGGATGCAAGGCTGGTTCAACATACACAGGTATTTCCTATTTGAATACCTGACAAAAACAAGCAATGGGGAAAGGAGTCCCTGTTTAATAAATGGTGTTGGGAAAATGGGCTAGCCATGTTCAGAAAGCAGAAGCTGGACCCCTTCCTGACACCTTACACTAAAATTAACTCCAGATGGATTAAAGACTTAAACATAAGACCTAACACCATAAAAACCCTAGAAGAAAATCTAGGCAAAACCATTCAGGACATAGGCGTAGGAAAGGACTTCATGACCAAAACACCAAAGGCATCGGCAACAAAAGCCAAAATAGACAAACAGGACCTAATCAAACTCCACAGTTTCTGCACAGCAAAAGAAACAGTGAATCAGCAACCAACAGAATGGGAAAAAATTTTTGCAGTCTACCCATCTGACAAAGGGCTGATATCCAGAATCTACAAAGAACTAAAACAGATTTACAAGAAAAAACAAACAAGAATTCAAAAGTGGGCGAAGGCTATGAACAGACACTTTATAAAAGAAGACGTACACATGCCAACAAACATGAAAAAATGCTCATCATCACTGGTCATTAGAGAAATGCAAATCAAAACTACATTGAGATACCATCTCTTGCCATTTAGAATGACGATCATTAAAAAATCTGGAGACAACAGATGCTGGAGAGGATGTGGAGAAATGGGAACACTTTTACACTGTTGGTGGGAGTGTAAATTAATTCAACCATTGTGGAAGACAGTGTGGCAATTCCTCAAGGACCTAGAAATAGTAATTCCATTTGACCCAGCAATCCCATTACTGGGTATATATCCAAAGGATTGTAAATCATTCTACTATAAGGACACATGCACACAAATATTCATTGCAGCACTGTTCACAATAGCAAAAACCTGGAACCAACCCAAACGCCCATCGACGATAGACTGAACAGGGAAAATGTGGCACATACACACCATAGAATATTATGCAGCCATCAAAAACAATGGGTTTGTGTCCTTTGTAGGGACATGGATGAACCTGGAAACTATCATTCTCAGCAAACTGACACAAGAACAGAAAATCAAACACCGCATGTTCTCACTCATAGGTAGGTGAGTGTTGAACAATGAGAACACATGGACACAGGGAGGGGAGCACTACACACTGGGGTCTGTTAGGGGGAAATAGGGGAGGGACAGCGGGAGGTGGGGAGTTGGGGAGAGATAGCCTGGGGAGAAATGCCCGATATAGGTGATGGGGAGGAAGGCAGCAAATCACACTGCCATGTGTGTACCTATGCAACAATCTTTCATGTACTTCACATGTACCCCAAAACCTAAAATGCAATTAAAAAAAAAAAGAATACACAATTTGTTACTAAAATAAGAATCCTTGCAAACAATAGGTTTGCATCATTTCATCTGTAATTAAGTCTCATCATCTCATTTGTAATTAAGCTGGGGACTAGTAGAAACACCCAGATAGCTCTGCTATTAAAAACAGAATAGTTAAGAATGCTAGAAAAGTATGGAAATGATACTCTCAGGCAGAGAATATACTCCACTGATGGTGGAGCTCAAGAAATTCCTTCTATAACCGGCTCAGAAGCAAGCATAGGATTTCACAGGGAAGAGAAATCTGGACATGATGGAAATGGGGCATTTCAGGCAGAGGGAGGGAGAAAAAAAAGTTCTTACCCTTAGGATGTATTGTTTTACAGAATCATCAGGACGAGAGTCAGGACCCAAAGGTCGCAAGGAAACTTAATTACTCAATGGGATGAGATCATTTAAAATAATTTGATTAGGGATTTAACAACTATTAATGGCATGTTCTAAGCACTTGGAATTCAGCAATACTTAAACTTGTTTTTGTAGACACTAGTCCCAATCTCAGTGAGCAGAAGGAGCTTTGCAGTCAGGCACACTAGGAAAACCTGGTATAACAGAGTCACCTCTTAGAGAATCCTGGTGTCCACAGTAGAGCAAGAGCTCTGATAAGTCCTGCAGTGTTTGAGTGTGTGTAAAACACCTGTGAACATAATAAAGCATGCACAAGGGGAACATTAATATTACTTAACTCTCCCAGAATAAAGATTGTTGAATATGGTCATTAATTAACTCACAAAGCAGATTATTATACTTTTCTTTTAGCTCTTATTTTTAGTATATTTAAACATAAAAATACGTAAGATATAAAGACAAGTCTCATAAATGTTTACTTTTAGATTTATTATTATTATATGGACATGGATGTTGAAAATACTGACTCAATAGCTGGTGTCAAAGGAAACACACTCAACATTGATAAAGACCTACCTTTAACAGGTTAAAAATAGGCTACAACAAAATAATGTCTAATTTGTAAGGTGGATGCTCAGTCTTGTTTGGGGGCACACGCACATACGTTAGGTTATACACAAAATTTAATGGTGTTTATGAGGAAGGAGAGAGAAAAGCCTGAGATTGAGGACTATTGGGAGCTTCAGATTTAACTGTGTTTTATTTCTTGATTGATAGGACAGGAAAACCAATATAACCTAATTCATCCTATTTAGATAAGACAGACATGGTTATTCACTTTCTTATTCTCTGTATTTGCTGAATTTTTAAAATGTTTCCCTGGAAGAATAGCAAGTGAGGATGCTGTCTGGGAGGCCCAGTGAATTGGCCCCAGCCCTGGAGGCTGAGGTCCTCTCAGGATGGTGCTTCCTCTTTGCACCACAAGGGCTGCAAATGGTGCTGCTCCCCCAGGCCCCTCCCTCATTGGGATGTCCCCACCTCCACCCTGTGGTTTGGAGAGCAAAAGGGTGTCCTCAGGAAGGTTGCTCACCTGAAGGACTGGGCCCAGGCACACTGGCCCTGCGGCTGGCAGATGCTGAGTCGGCCACAGGTAGCACTGGAACCACATGGAAATGGGGATTAGGACCGCTAAACACAGAACAGGTCAGACAAGAACGCAACTGGCAGCTGGTGAAGTGTCCCCAGCCATGCCACACCTTAATGAAAGCATTTGGGCTGACCACACACTCCCAATGAGCTGCCAGATTTCTTCTGATGAGGTTGGAGTCAAGTTTAGGTTAAGCTCCTCAGCGTGACCCTGCTGTCCCCAAATGCCCATATGCTTCCCCCTTTAACTCTGTATCAGACCCAGGTTCTGCAGGAGGCACTCAGCAGTAGTAAAATAAGTCATTGATGAATTGGGGAAAGGTTGTAAAAATCATTGCATTCATAAGGATGCTGATTATCTTAGATGACCCCATGGAAGACATCATACAACCTAGTGATCCACCTGCCTGGACATTTCCTGGATGGTAAGGCCTCCCATCTATAGGATGAATGGTAGAATCATTGCTTACCTGCTAGGGTAGTTGGTAACTTTTCGTTATCTGCTGACAGTGAAAAACATAAATATCTGTTAGATCTGGCTTCACTAGTTTGCTCTAATACTAACTTCTTTTTGAGGCAGGATATTTGTACAAATAGGGGTTTTTCAGAGTGATACCTATTTCTCTTGAGTAGAGAGATTTGCCTCCACTATACACTGTGTACCAGGATTGTTCTTGGCTAAGATGAAACCTGCCTCAAGAGGGGTCCAGCAGCCTGCCAACCATGCAATACCTACACATTTGTTTATTCTTTCAATAAACATTTATTGTGTGTCTATCATGTATCAAGCACTGGGATAGGGGCTGGGGATACAGTGACAAGCAAGACAGATAAAACCCTAGCCTCAGGGAGCTTCAAATCTGGTGCTGCAATTGACATTAGGCATTACACATGGTCCTTAGATTCCTTGGTAGTACATTTCTCCTGGCCTTAAACAACAACTCAACCTTTCCATGAGCTTGCTTAAAATGCTGGAAGTAGCATAAACAATGCATCATACTCATTTTTTTTTTTTTTTAACTAGCAGCTCATTGACCTACTTGGTGATATGGTTGGGTGGTCAACATCTTCCAGGGTAGTGGAAGCTGAGAGAACTGTTGGAAAAAACAATACACAAAAAAAAAAAAAAAAAAAAAAAAAAACCAGGTCAGGCCTGGTGGCTTATGCCTGCAATCCCAGCACTTTAGGAGGCCAAGGCAGGCGGATCACTTGAGGTCAGGTGTTCGACACCAGCCTGGCCAACATGGTGAAACCCCATCTCTACTAAAAGAAAAAAAATACAAAAATTACCTAGGCATGGTGGCGTGCACCAGTAATCCCAGCTACTCAGGAGGCTGAAGCAGGAGAATTGCTTGAACCCAGGAGGCGGAGGTTGCAGTGAGCCGAGATCACAGCACTGCACTTCAGCCTGGGCAACAGAGTAAGATTCCTTCTCAAAAAAAAAAAAAGAAAATAAAAATTAAAAAATAAACTTTTTTAAAAAAGGAAAATGACCTCCAATATTTAATGCTGAATAGAAAGAGGGACCCTTTATTTCAACTACCTTTACACAAGCTCATTCAAAATGGAGAATTTAAAAAGGAACCAGAAGCCTCAAAAACATTATGCTAGGCAGGAAAGGCTGTGGGTGGCATGACACCATTTATATGAAATATCCAGAATGGGTAAATCTGTAGTGACAGATGGAAGGCTGGTGGTTGCCAGGGGCTGGAGGAGGAACTGTGATAAAATGGTCCGGCTGTAGCACTGGGCAGAAATGCCATGCCCTCTTCACCTGGCTTAGCCACTATGGGGCAGAAGCCCCTCTTTGTGAAAAGCAGCATCCCACAGGACATTCCTGCAGGCACGGAAGGAGGTCACACTCTTTGTGCAGCTACCATGCTCCAGGCTGCCCGCTAAGTGCTTTACATGGATTCAGTGACTTAATCCTCAGAACTTCTTGAAATCAGTGGCTATTGTTCCCATTTCTCAGATGAGGTAACACAAGCACAAAGGGGTAAAGAAACATCATGAGAGTCTCATACATGGCAGATAGAAGAGAGGAGACCCAGTAGTCAGCTGTGAGCACTTCACTGTCAAGTAAGTGGAATATGCCACTTAAGGTGCAAAAATGTCCTTATTTAGTCATGTAGACACTAGAGCTAGGAATTCAATGTGTTTTTTCTCATTTTTGTTCATGTTTGGAAATGGAGGTAAATATGCAAACTGGCAACAGCTAAATGACATTCGTTTGTTCAAACATTTACTCATTTATTCATTTAACGAGCACTGAGTGCCCATCAGAGAGCAGACATGCTGACATAGTCCTCAAGACTATGTGTGTGTGTGTGTGTGTGTGTGTGTGTGTGCGCGCGTGCGCACGAGTGTGCTGCGTGCAATGTTGAACATGAGAAAGATATGATTTCTGCCCTCATGTCATTAGGGAAGCAAGTGGATACAATATGCAACCCGAAGAGAGAGGAATGAGTAAGAGCTAAAGTGAGGACAGATGAAAAGCTGTGAGAATCCAGAAGAAGGAGCCACTCCTGCCAGGGCAGCTCGTATAGAGACGGGGAGGATTAGGCCAGAGAGGGCAGGGGACTGGCACTGGTGTTGCAGTGGCCACCCAGTAGGCAATGGATACGTGAGTTTGGGAGAGGCAAGGGTAAGAGTACGCAAATTAAATGCAGACCCAGCCCAGAGATTAACTCTTTTCAGTCTTAGCTTTTGTCATCTCAAATAGATGCTCCTAGTTTCTGAATAAGCAATGTGCCTTCTCAATATTTTTTTTGGAATTTAATAGGATTTTAATGTGGTTTAGAGAGTTTAGAATAGTTCAGAGATTAAGCTTTAGGGCTCTGAAGTCAGACTGCATTATTCCACCAACCCTGAGGACAATATTTAACCTATCTCAGCATAAGTTTCCTCATTTTGAAAATTGAGGTTATAGAAGTCCTCTCATCCAGCTGTTGGGGGGATTAGACAAGAAAATTCACGTAAGACATTTGACATATGTGATTGTTTCAGTGGAAGGCAATCTGTTTATTATAAATTAAGTGCAAATTACATATATAATTTTAGATTTTCTGGTTGCCGCATTTTAAAAAGTAAAAATAAACAGATGGAATTAGTTTTAATAATATATCTTATATAATGCCATGTATCCAAAATGTTATTACTTCAATGTAATAGTATCAAATACAAATACAAAATGTAATCCATATAAAAAAGTCAGTGAGCAATTTTACATTCTTTTTATAGTATTGTCTTTCTTAAAACAATTTTTGAGGTATAATTGATAGAGCAAAAAGCTGTGCATGTTTAATGGGCATAGCTTTGTGTGTCTGGATACAAGCACACACCTGTGATCCCATCAGCACAACCAAGGTAATAAACATAACCATCCCATCCAAAAGTTTCTTCATGTCTCTTTCCTGTGTGTGGTGAGAACACTTGACATGAGATCTGCCCACAGCAAATCTGAAATGCACAAAACTGTGTTGTTAACTATGGACATGACGTTGCACAGCTGACATCTAGAACCTCCTCACATTGCATAACTGAAAGTTTATACCCATTGAACAACAACAACGCATTTTCCTGAGTCTTTGAAAGATCTAGTGTGTATTTAACAGACACGGCATATCTCAGTAGCCACGATGATAGTGCAGGCTTAAGGACTTACCAAAGATGATTATTAGCATTGCCAGAATATGAATTATATGATGGTGTCATTGAAATGTCAGCAGTTACAGGTGATGCAGAAGTGGAAATAGAATCAACTAGCATGGCCAAATGAAAATAGACTGTAATGGTGGTCACTGAGATGTAATTTAGACATCTCTAAGTTGGATACTTCCCAGACATAAGGCCAGGTGCGCTAGTTTATTTCTTAAAATCAAAAGATATGAGGAGACTCTCTAATAATCTTTTTCTCTAACACACAATTCCCCCATCTCTTTTCCTCTTACTCAGCATTTGTGAAAGCATGTGAAATGAGAAGACTTGTGTTATGTTCTTTGATAGCAAAATTATAGGTGATCAAACACAGAGTGAAATTCAGAACATCTCAGGGTCCCCTTGTCCCTTTCCTCTCAAATCGTTTGATCTCAGTGGTCTGTCAGCAGTACCTAGAGACGGTGCAGAACCACCGACTATCATTCAGTGCAACTTAGATGCTATGATGAATTTACTGTGCTGGTGGTGGTGGCAGTGTCCTACCTGACGATGTTGAATGTGCAGCAGTTGTAGAAGGGAGTTGAGTTGAGATGGCAGCAGGTAGAACTGCAATAAAGAAGCAAGTGTGAACAGTAAGTAACTTGAGGGAGGGGTGTTTGGCCAGGGGCTCCCTGTGATTTCACAAGATGCGGTTTTGCCTCCATTCTGAAGTGACAGACTCTGAGTCAGTGACAGATATGCCAAATCACCTCCTAGCCACCTGATCTTCAATGCTGTTAGACTCAATCATCCCTGGCCTGTCTCTCTGCCAGATTCTATGTACATGTGCAGGTATTTGGTGCTCTGTGATAAGAGTTCTGTGTTTTGGGTCTTAACATTCTTCTTAAGAGTTGGCCTGATGGTCTAGATCCTGAGGACCCTCTGGTACCTTTATTCACGTGTGCCGCATGTTTTATTCCTAAGCCTGTTTTGTTCCCAGCATGTCTGATGCTGTTGTACTAGCAAAAAACCTCTCTAGGGCTCCACAGTCCCACATTCTCTCCTGCTCTGCAGACCTAACTTCATGCCATGTCTGGCCACGGGAATTACCTACAATGTCCATAAGGAACATTGACAGAGGCAACTGCAGGAGATAGAGAACAATTGCTTCTCTTTTTGGATTGGCTTGGGTAGATGCTCCCCCTCTTCTGTCACACCTTTCTTCTCTCTACTTGCTGTTGGTCACCATATTTCAATGCATGTCCTGAATAACATGTCTATTTCTGCTCCACGAAGCAAAAGTAACTACAAAATTTATTTTATAAACAAGTGCAGAAGGCTGAATATTGGCCTCCCCAAAGATACCCAAGTCCTAATCCCTGGAACCTGAGCATATGTTAGATCACACAGCAAAGGGGTGAATTAAGATTGCTGGTGAAACTACAGTTGCTAATCAGCTGCCTTAAAATTAGGAGATTATCCTGCATCATCAGGTGGGCCCAATGGCATCCAAGAGTCCTTAAAATTGGAAGCAGAAGGCAGAAAAGAGTCAAAGAAAGATTGGAAAATGCTAATCTCTCTGCGGGCTTTAAAGATGGAGGCCTGGCCACTAGCCAAGGAATGCAGGTCACCTCTAAAAACTGGAAAAGGCAGAAAATGGATCCTCTTTTTCCAGAGCTTCTAGAATGAACACAGCCTGACTGACACTGCTCTTAGCTAAGACCCACTTTGGACATCTGACCCCAAGATCATAAATTTGTGTTGTTGAAGCTGCTAAGTTATGGCGCTTCATTTTAGCAGCCATGGAGAAATTATACAATAAGTAAACATTACATGCAATCAGATGATTCTTTCTCAAAAAAAAAATGAAATATTTCCTTCATAAAAATTAAAAGAGTTTTGATATTCCCAGAGAAGCTGGCCAAATTGAAACTTAAATAATTACAAAACCCTGTGTTCCAAGTGGTTTCCAGTATTTTTTAAAAATAGTGTTGTCAGCTCTCTTTTTTTAAGGGGTTAGTGAATCTTTTAAAGTGGTGTCCTGAAAATAATCTCTACCCAAACTCAGTTATACGGGGTAGGTTGTAATAAGTCACTGAGTAAAATAACTCAATAGCCACTCTTCCATGTGCTCCTTCCTGTATTGGGTGGGAAAACAGAAATATCCCAGGGAAAATAGCACAAACAAGTTCTCTTACCTGATAATATGATTGCTGAATTTCCATCACCTATTGGTATGAATAAATTGAAATAGTTCTCATTCTAGTAAATTGAATAACTTTTGCTTGACCTACTTATTGGTTTTCAACAAATCTTTAACGTGACAGGTCTAAAATACAAAATGTAAAATATTGTGGATTCCTGGTGAAATACAGCCTCTGGGACTTAACAGGCTCTCAGAGGTCCCGTATTTGCTGATTTGATTGCCTTTAACATAGACCAGAAAGAAGAGCCTTAACGTATAATACTGGCTCTTTAGAATGCCCACACACTGAAAGCAAGCCAGTCACCTGTGGTGCTCTGGGCCACCTGCCTATCCTGGGCAGTGGTTCCCAACTGGCAGCAAAGTAAGATGACCGTGGTATGTCCACATATGAACTGTCTTCTCAGCTTATGCTTCCTGCAGAGCCCAGTGGCCATCATCTGTCTCCTCCTGAACACTGTGCAGACATTTCTATTAATCTTATATATGTTATTAATATGTATACTATTATATATTACATATAATATTCAATATATAATACTATATTATAATTATATACTATATCACAATTCTATATCATATTAGATTATTTTATTGTATTTAATATTGTTATAATTTATCCGATATAATTTAATATGTAATAATTATAATGTATAATTATAAACATATATGTATATGTTCTGCTACAAATTTTAAATGACAGTAAAATATATATATCTGCATAGCAAGACCAAAAAAAATAGAAATATAAGATTAACACACACATGAATGAAAGGAAAACAAACAGAAAAATTACCAACCAACCAAAAAAACCCTTGGCTGTTGCTAGTATAGATCATTCAATTAAGCTCTGAACTTCCTGGGATTTGAAGGCAGACGGAAATCATGCTGCATAATGGAATTCTCACTGCCTGATAAGTGGTATCCTCCTAAAAAAAGTCATTGCCTTTGTTCATTGAGTATTTTAATACCTAGTATAATGTTTTGAACAGCAATTTACAGAAGTGGCAGAATGTTACATGTGTGTCTATTTTTTTTTCACTGAAATATTTATTTAAAACGTATTATATACCAGGAACTCTCTTTGGCTCTGAGATAAACAAGATCACCAAAGTTCCTACTCTCACAAAACCCACACTCTGGGGAGTGGTGCAGGAGGACACAGATGAGCAGGACAATGAAAAAAGACTACAAAGACTATCTTGGGCCGGGCACTGTGGCTCATGCTTGTAACCCCTGCACTTTGGGAGGCTGAGGTGGGCAGATCACTTGAGGTCAGGAGTTCAAGACCAGCCTGGTCTACATGGTGAAACCCTAAAAATACAAAAAAAAAAAAAAATAGCCAGGTGTGGTGGTGCATGCCTGTAATTCCAGTTACTCGGGAGGCTGAGGTAGGAGAATTGCTTGAACCTGGGAGGCGGAGGTTGCAGTGAGCTGAAACCGTGCCACTGCACTCCAGCCTGGGTGACAGAGTGAGACTCTGTCTCAGGAAAAAAAAAAAAAGACTATCTTGAATGGTGTGAGTACCATGAAGAGAAAACAAAAGGCTGATCAAATAGAATGCTACTGAGAGGAAGTCTTTTCAGATTGTGTATTTAGGGGAATCGTCTCTGAGGAACTGACGTTGAAAAATCCTGAGGCCGGGCGCGGTGGCTCACGCCTATAATCCCAGCACTTTGGGAGGCCGAGGCAGGTGGATCACGAGGTCAAGAGATCGAGACCATCCTGGTCAACATGGTGAAACCCCATCTCTACTAAAAATACAAAACATTAGCTGGGCATGGTGGTGCGTGCCTGTAATCCCAGCTACTCAGGAGGCTGAGGCAGGAGAATTGCCTGAACCCAGGAGGCGGAGGTTGCGGTGAGCCGAGATCGCGCCATTGCACTCCAGCCTGGGTAACAAGAGCGAAACTCTGTCTCAAAAAAAAAAAAAAAAAAAGAAAAATCCTGAAACCTGATTACAAGGAATGAGCTGAAGAAAAGTCTGGAAGAAGAGCATTCCAGACAGAGGAAAGTGCCCTCTACAAAGTCCTTAAGGTGGGAACTCCCTTGTCAGTTTCAAGGCATAGAACTGTTTTGGGAAACACAGTGCAAGAGGAGATGTGTTCTCGAGGATCAGAGACATGAGCAAGGTGTAGGTCATGCAGGGTCTGAAAGACCATGGTACCAGATTTGGATGTTATTCTAGATCCAAGGGAAAGTTTTGGAGGGTTTTGAGTGAAAAGGAATGATCTAATTTATAATTACCAGCCTGCTCTAGTTTCCATGATGAGAACAGATCGTGTATATGTTGGGGAGGAAAGAGAAGTAGTAGAGGACTGTGTAGCAAATTGTTGCTATAGTGACATGAAAGATGATGGGGCTTTGGATGATTGCTGTATTAGTGGAGTTGGGAGATGCTAATGGGTTTAGCATATATTTTAGAAGTAGACACAGAATTTTCTGATGCATTGGTTTTGTGAAGTGAGGAGACAGAGGAGGAATAAGATTTGCTCTATTTTTTTTTCTGATTTCAGAAACCAAACAGGAGAAATATATCTATTTTTAACATCAACTCTCCATAGAAGTCAAGCAAGGTATCATAATAAAAGTTGATTGACTTTTCTATGCTTCAGTTTCATCCTCCGTAAAATGGGGATTACAGTAGTACCTACCTAATCAGGTTGTTGTAAAAATTAAATGTCATTCATGCAGTGTTTAGAATTAATTACTTCATTAGAGCAGGGGTCAAGAAACTAAGGCTTGTGGTTCAACTCTAGCTGACTGCCTGTTTTTGTTAATAAAATTTCCTTGAACCATAGACACATTCATTAGTTTATGAATTGACTGTGGCTGCTTTCATGCTACCGAAGCAGAGTTTAATAAATGCAATCAAGACCATCTGGCCTCTCTAGCCTAAAATACTTATTATGTGGCCCTTTACAGAACAAGTTTGCCTCTCCTTAAGGTACTTACCTGCATAATTACTCATTACTTAACTATTTAAATTATTAATTAAATAACTTATTAAATAATGGGTAATTATGCAGGTAAACTTCTTAGAAAAGTGCCTGGGTCATGGTGAACACTCTATAAAAGTTGGCTCTTGTTATCTTTCCATGTGTACAATCTCATTTAACTTAAATGGAGCACTGTAAATTTGGTGTTTTTATCCCCCTTTTATAAAGGTGTTAGTGAATTGTGCAAGGTTACATTAAATAAGTGACTGAGATGGAACTTACATTCAGACCTTCTGCTGCTGAACCCATGCCTTTCCCTCATCCCCAAGCTCAGCCTCAGCTAGTACACAGGCCTGTCTTGAACACGCTCCCATTGCATTTACTAATTGTAGGACACACCAGTTTCCTAATACGCTAGGAAATTGATCCTGACACGGTATGTACAGAATATGTAGTGTATTCTCCTCTCCAAATTCAGCTCAGCAGCTGCAATGAAAAAACATTTTTTTTAAACCAAAAGAAAACTGCATCAAATAAGGACTAACTGCAAATGCAACATGAAAATACCTCCTACCTTGGGGCATTTGCAGTGAGTCTTCAGCATTCTCTGCAGGGAGACAGGTTGGGAATTAGGTAGCATTAGAACTACAGAGTGAAGTACAGGCAGAT